TAAATTATAATAAATTATGCGATATTATATTTGATAGATATAAATCATTCCAATTAACAAACAAAGATAAGATATTCATTTAATAGAATTGTTAATAAATGAAATTGAAAAGAAAAATTTAAACCAATTAATTTATGTTAGGTAATTCAATTAATTTGAATGAATGAAAATGATAAGATATAATGTTGTTAAGTGATAATTGTATTTTTTTAGGTTCATCATTGCAAGTGCATATGACATTGAATCATGGCTTTCCGCCACCCGGTAGTTCTATTTCATCTGATGATCAAGCTGAAAAATGTTCCCATTGTGGTACTACAGCGGAACCAGGAAATTCACAAAATGAAAATCCATCATCATCAGCACCAGTTCATCAGGAAATTAGAGAAATCAAATCAATGATTGGTGAATTGCGATCAGCCCAAAGTACAACACGTGTTGAACAGGTAATTTTGTTTCATTATTAAACAAACGATTGAATAAATATTTATCATTTTGCAGTAATGATAAATTTTCATTTATGAAATTTTAACTTTTATGGAAAAAGAAAAATTATTCTTTTTAATTTTAGTTATTAACTGGTTTGGATACACGTGTTGGACGATTAGAGAAGCAATTGGAAATGGCATTAAACAGTATTTATACATTGGTTCAACTACAAACCGGAATTAATTCATCCGTAACGAGGTTCAGGGAGGAAGCTTGTGAGCAATTGAAAACAGTCAAAGCAATGCTTAGCGAGTCTTCCGTTTGATAAGATTTCAAGAGATACTTTGATAAGGAAGAATGCAAAGGGGGAGAGAGAGAGAGAGAGAGAGAGGGAATGAAGAGGGAAAAAAGTGATAAATTCTTTTTAGAAATAATCTTTCTTTTGCAAAAAAAAGAAAGAAAGAAAGAAAGAGAAATATTTGCTATTTCATTTTTACCAATGAAATTAATCTATGAGATATTATTTCTTTTAATGGAATTATTCCCTTTGCTTTTAAACTTTTCAACTACGAATAAAAATGGGAAATTAAATTTTTCAAAAAGAGAACAATAAAATATTGTTGCCAAAATGTCTCAGTCTTTTAGCAAAGAAAGAGAAGAGAGAAGGAGAATATTATTTTTATTTCCATATGTTTTGTTTATTTTTATTTTATATCTTTCTTCTTTTATTTTAAACGAAATCGTAATGTTTTTGTCGTGTATTTCTCTCAATCCAATGTAATATTTATAGTAATAATAATAATTAATAGTAATAATGATAAATAATTATTATTAATAATAACAATACATATTATAATAACAATAATAATTATATATATCATAGTAATAACAATAATAATAATATATATACATATATATTATATATGTATATATGTACCATTCTCAGCCCTGTATACTTCTCAGGTATTTCCTCTACTTAATTACAATTTATGAAAGAAAAAATTTAGATCAAAAATTTCTAATTATTAATTATTGTCTTTTTTTTTGTGCTGTTGATTAATCCAAAAAATATTTCCTAATCATTACTTAAAATTTTTAACTGTTATACATATATATATACTTATTTATTTATCAGCTTTCATAGTATTAATTATTAATTCGAGTATATGTGTAGTGATATAGAGAAATTTGGTACCTTTAGATTATAAATGGTACCATCGAAAAATACCATATATCAATTTTCATTGGAACAAAATATTGATTATTATTCTACCTCTAAATATATAAGTATTATGATTTAAAAATTTTTTTTTCAAAGCAATGAATATGTATCATTTATTACTACGATATTGAATGTTTTAAATTTTGTTTCTTTTGCTAAATGCAATTTGAAATTTGCTAGTTGAATATTATTATTATTATTATTATTATTATCGTTAAAATTGCATACTGATTATTTTTCCATTGTATCAATTTCCAATTATTATTTATAGCATTTCTATTCAAATTAGAATTTCTTTTTCATTCTTCTCTTTTTTCCATTAATATATTTTATATTATATTAACAATAATTAATTGATATTAACAAACAACAAATCTTTGGTATGGATAATCTTCTAGTCAGTAAAAAAATTTTTGTTTTTACTTTTCTTTTTTCCTCCTTTTTTTCTCTTCTTCATAATTTTTTCTTCATGTCTTTCTCTCTATGATATTTTTTTGAAACAAAAGAATTTTATCAGTTCCTTTTAAAAGCTCAATGGAAATTTCAAAAAAATTCAAATGAAAATTTTAGAAAATATTCGATATAAAACAAATATTTCTTCTTTTTCTTTGCCAATAATTAATTATTCCTAAAATTTTAATCATTAAGACGTTTCAAATATCCATATATTTTACATATTCAAATATTCTAATTTTTGTTTTAGAAATTATAAATTATTAATTAATATGAACTGTTAGTTTTACTATTAGATAAAAGAATAACATTTTTTTTTTTACTTATTAATTAATTTATCAAAAAATTAAATTTAATCAATTTTTGGTAAGCTTTTTTTTTCCTATTCAAATTTATATAAATAATTTTTGGTGTGAGAAAATTTATGCTGGCATGAAATATAACGGGGAATTCATTTATGATCGATCGATAATCAGAAAAGAAATAATTGAAAGTGTTCTTTCTATTAGCTTTTTTTGATTTTCAAAAGAAATATTTCGAAAATTTCCAATTGTGTTTCTAACTTTTTCTGTAACAAAAGACAAAGAAGAATTAAAATTTAAATTTTAATCGGATCGATTGACTTTCTAATTTATATCTTACGGATGTTTTTCCTCCTTTTTTTCTTTTCCCTATAAAATACTTTGTCTTTTATTTTTGTTGCATTTCTCTTCATCATTTTCTTTTTATCGTCGTCTCATCATCATTTTCTCTCCCTTTTTCCCTCTCTCTCCCTCTTCAATGATATGTGCCATACATATAATTAACTTTGCTTAAAATTTTATTTTCGTTGCTTTTCCATATTTTATCATTTTTTACTTTTTTGCGTAAATATATGTGAGAAAAATAAGGTTTAGAAGTAAGAGTAAGAGTTTTTCATTATTTTCTTTGCCATACCATTTATTATTATTATTACATTTGATGTTTTGCTGTTTCCTTTATTTCTTTTCATTTCTATTTTAAAAATATTCTTTTCATTTTGCTTATAATGCATTTCTCTTTTTCTTCTTTTTCGTTTTCGTATGATCTCATTTTTTTTAATGTTTAAAAAAAATGCATCTGTTTTGTGAAGTAGCAATTGAGGAAAGTGTGTTAAAATGTTTTAAAGAAGCCTAACAAACAAATGGATATGAATGAATGATACTGCAATGAAGCTGCAATATCGTAAATGAAATTAATTTATTAATATGGTACTATAAAATTCGTACTACAAAGTTATGAACAATTATTGTTACGATAGAATTATGTTAGATTAGGCGCAATAAGGCTAAATAATTATTATGAAAGTGTTACAATTTTGTAGTGTAATTATACAACAAATTAATTTTTTTTTTAAAATGGAAGTTCTAGCATCTTTTGTTTCTTTTCTTCCTAGCTCTATTTAATTACAGGAGTTCTAATTTAGTACTAAACACAGCGGAGAAAAAAAATGTTGAAACTAAGGTTACGAGTTTTAAATGTTTAATTTTTAAAATTTACATATAATAGCTAAGTAAATTTTCAATGTTTAAAATTTGTATTTCAATGAAAAAAGTGTGATAGCTGAAATTACACAAATGTTACGGTATTAAAGAAGTATCAGAGTTATTATGATTGTATGATAATATCACAAGGAAAAAGAGCTGGGCAAAATATCGATGATATACGACAAATATGGTTATGGTATTGAATTCTAATGAAATTATTATACTCCTGAACAATATGATATATTATTCTATAGAACAAAAAACAAAATAATAACAGGTTTTATAATTTGAAAAAATTATAAAACAAAAATTATAGGTAAAAAATCACTAATTTTAAAATTGAATAAATTGAAATTCATTCATTCAAAATGAAGTGACAGAATATTAAATGTTACCATCGCAATAACTTAAGTGTTATTATTGCTATTGTTGTCGTTAGGTGAATTGGAAGATATTTCAAACAATCTCTTTTATTGATTATTGAAAATTTTTACAGCAATAAGATGATTTTCTGCAGTTCTAAATTTAACATTATTATTGCCATTATCATTATTATTATTACTATTACTACTATTATTTTTTGCTATAATTATTATTTGTTACTGAGAAATAATTGAATAATAAGATGGATTTTTATATGAATATAGAAAGTGGAAGGTAAGAAAGTAAATGAACGAACAGCAATATTGAAACTTTAACATTCGAAATTCACATTGCTAAAATATGATTATTGTGATAACATAATTGAATTGACTTGACAAAGGATTGCTCAAGTTTCCCCGTCTGTGATAATTTCGATCTAACTTGTGGTATTATATTACTTGGTCAACTTAATCCGAGTAAGCTTTTTCGAAAATTCTGGCATATTAAGAAGTTACAATTCTGGATTATAGTCGACATGCATATAAAGGAATCTCTGTTTGGTAAATGCTTTGACAAATAGTGATTTTACAACTTCAGTAAAAACTTCGCTGTAAAACAGTGGTGAGAAAAAAAAAACTTTCTTTAAAGACTATTAACGCGTTGAAATGCTGTGCAAAGTTTGTCAACTGAAATTAGCTCATCAAATGATTGTGAGTATCTCGAAATTTCTAATTAAAAGGATAAACCAAATGAAGAAATGAAATGTTTTGAAAGCAAAGATTATACGTGTAAAGCTAGCCATATTCCAATTTCTGTAACAAATTGAATTGTCCAAAACCTTCTTTTTAAAAAGCCTTATTGTATATTATTGATTTGTTTCAAGACATAACTATCATATGTAGAAGACAATTTTCAAATAAAACATTTTATTTAAGTTATCTTTAAAATACTACTGATACCAAATAAATATTCTTTTTACATCACACATCATTCTTTTTATATCACACCAGTTGTACATTGAAACTAGTTCAGTTTATTGTTTTCTTCAGAAGCATATCTACAGCAGATCGCAAGTCATCAACTAGCAGATCTGGCTTAATGCTATGGTTTATCCAAGATTGTCTGAAAAATGGAACAAAGCATTCTGAGAAAGAATATAACATGAAACGTTCGGTTCATACTAATTCTAAAAATCATATCACAACTTAATCAAAAAATCTTCCATTCTTATTCCTATTCCTTCTTACTCCATCAAATGAAATTATCTATAGGGCAACAAATATGAATGAATATGAATGAATTCAACTTGGTGCAATATAATAAATTAGAAAATTTTTGTCTGGAATTCATTACTGCAAGCATAATTTTAAATTCTCTAATGAAACTTATGTAAGTAACGGATGTGAAATTCTTTAAAAACCTATTTACCTCCACTTTCCTGTACGTACTTGTACACCTCTGATTCCAGCTTTCTGTGCCCCACCGACATCCGACACAATATCATCACCAATCATTACAACCTAAATCGTTCTTTGCCAATAATCTTTAATTTAACTTCAGTCAATTTTTCATAAAAAATAATGCTTGAAAGAACAACTGTATCTAAAACATGCCATCTTTTTTTCCCTTTTTCATATGTTTAAAATGTTGGTGAGAAAAGCGAAAGAGACAAAGAGAGAGAAAGAAGAAAGAGAATCATAAATGGTGGTAGTGATAAATAAAAAAACATATAGCAACAGTAAAACGCAATCGATTCCCTGTGAGATTGGATTTGATAAATTATAATTCAAATAAAGTTTAAAAATGATCACCTCATCGGCCTTTAAACCCATATCATCAACAGCAGCTTTGAAAAATTGTTCATCTGGTTTACCTGTTATAACGACTCGTGCATCACATGCATACTGCAATGCACGTATGAAACCACCGACGTCCATACACGGTCCATCCATTCGCTGATAAAATTTTCTGGAAACAAGGCTCTCATAATATATTTATCACTAACTAAATAAAAAACAGTCATCCACTTCCAAAATTTTTTCTTGCTAACAATTTTTCAATTATTTTCAGTCAAAGCGTAAATTTAACATATTCAATACTACCGAAATTCTCTTTCAAGTCTGTGTAACACATGTTTATCAACCATTAGTTTATTTCAATGAAATGATGAATTTGCTTTATTCAATAAATAATAGCGTTTTGTTCAAGATAAATTTACGGAGAGGCTAAGAAAAAACGAGCGAAGGACTATTAATAATATGTTAAAATATTATCGACGGTGATGCTTTGAGTTTTTAAAACATTACTGTGCAACATACCTTAAACTACTAATATAGTAAAACTAACCCACAACCTAAAGCAATAATCAAAGGATCATTCGTTTCATGTAAAACTCGAAAAGCGGCATTCATTGTTTCATAAGTAAACCCTAATTCGGCATCACCCAATAAGACGCAATTCGGATCGCTTGTATCAAGATCTTCAAATTCTTTCAGAATACCTAGAATGGAATACAAAATTTATTGAATATTTTTTAATAGCCAAAGATATTACAACTAAATTCAAAAAGTAAAGATTATGACTCAAATTTAAGAACATGAAATTTCATATGAAAATTCTATAACATATCTTCATGCACCAGTATATGTGGTCTAAGACCATGATCTTTGATGTATCGTTTAGCTTCCGGAACAGGCATAAAAATGTGCTCTTCCTTCAAAGTAAATCCAAGCCTTGTTAACTTTTCGAATAAGTGTTTACGACTACGTGTACTTTCATTTGTCACGAAGCGAACTGCACTTTCAGCATACAGTCTGGAATTTAAATTTAAAGTTTCAGGTTTCAAGCGCAAAAAAGTTCAAAATTGTTTTTGTGGTATGCAAACTCCTTTTAAATGTTAAAAATTTGCTTCACAACTACAAAAGAAATGTTACAGAGAAATGCTAAATTAAGTTGAGCTAATAAATTCGAAATTATGCTCTCGTTGACAATAAACACTTAGCCATGTAGCTGGAAAATGTAAAATGTTAACAGTATCAAAAGTTCAACTATTTCCTTCATTACCTCTAGTCCAGTTACTGATAAAAAAGTATTAAAATACTTCGAAAAGTATCAAAATACTTCGGTGGTTGCCGATAAATAAAGTGACATCTCAAAGTTACAAACATTTTTTTTAATATCATTAACTTAGAACATACACTAGAAAAGAATCTAAATAACTTTCAAGCTAGAAATTAATAAATTTTAGTTTTTCAAATTAATGGGGAAAAACCTATTAACTGCTTCTACTGATCCCTCTATAAGGCGTCCAATTGTGCCTGGATCGCTGTTGTACATAACACCAGTAATATCTAAAAGGAAACCCTTCACCGGCTTACTAGTGATACTCATTACCTGAAAAAAAAAGAGTAAAAATAATAAAATATATTGTAGCATACGTTCTAAATATCTTTCGTAAAGTGAAAATTATCGAAAATTATAACGCCGACCAGAAAAAAAATTAACTTTAAAAGTTATTTGAATTTAAGTAATTAACAATATGGCTTAAAAATAGGAGTGCGTGAATTTTATCAAATATTTATTAGGTTTTCTCCAAAAAAAGAATTAAACAATATTTTCAACAAACATATGAAGTTGGAGAAACAATACAAATGATTGACCAGCCATTAACTAGCAATTAATAATTAAAGACATAGTTTTATCTGTCTAGGGAACCTAATAAATAATCATAAAACTGAGGGATAAATAAACAAATCTGAAACTAAAAACTCTCCTAATTAAGAAATAAACTACATGATAAATATTAAAACTAAAAATTAACTGGTCAAGGTGGATAATGTACGAATCAAAACTGGAACTTAAACAGAAAGAAGTATATATAAATTGTTGAAAGTCTAAAAAAAATCCTTGACCCGATAATCCAGATTAGGAGCTCCCCTTTGTTTTTCACCGCGGTGCAGTCTGGCGTCCCTCCCCATGCGCTACACACCGTTCACCAATTTTTTTGCAACTTGAATACCAGTTTGAAGACGTCGGGTTTGGATTTAAAATGCTAGAGGAACAGCGTACTTCGTTTTGTTTTGTTCGGTCTCACTTGTTCCTATGATTGGTCATCGTCTATCCCTGGTCATTTTTTCAATCTCTAAATTATTATATTTTATATAATTCTTTTCAATAACAATTTTATTTCCATTCACAGCTATTGTTATCATGAATAAGAGCCTCATATATTCTATGGGATTTTTTCCTTTTTGTTTTCTTATCAATCTTTGTCTCCTCGCAATTTTCCCTTCTATTTTTTAATTTTCAATTTCTATTCATTGCATCTTCCAATGTTATTTAGAGATGAGTCTGTTGTTAAAATCATAGCAAAAAAAGGGAAAAGAAGAGTGTTGCATTATTTCGTTTTGCGTAACGTATCATAGTACTTCATATATTGCGTGGTACTTTTAATAAAGCATCCATGACATAGACTTTGAACTGTTTAAAGTTTTTAATATATTGAAGTATGAAAATTTTATGATTGAGACATTTTAGTCTGACGCAATTATGGACGTTATAACGTAAGCTAGAACTTATATACAGTTAACGATAGAATATAATAACAAAGTTTTAAAGATCTATCTTTTTGTTTAATTGAAATTTCTAATCCAATCAGTGTTTAATCTATGATGATACAGGTTTTGTGCTTCATAGTTTTCCAATTTTAACTAAAGATCATCTTTCTGATGGTTAATTTTAACATTTATTATCTAACTAATCTAACGAATTATAAGACCTTTTAATAGCTATTTTTTTCAATTTTTTTTCTGAGACCGATTGATTATCATAAAGATTAACTAGTTGGTGATTAACAGTGTTTTTCATTATCGTGTTATTAAGTATGTAAGAAGCATATTGATTGTGCTGCTCTATATTGTTTGTTCTTTTCAGGATTTTTTTCATTATATTCTTTGTTCTATATTTCTACCAACATTGTTAATATTTGGTGAATCACAAGAATTTCCCGGAATGTTTCCTAAAAACTTTCTTAGCGAATTTCGAGTGTAACAGTCAATTGCTAATTGACAATTTTTTCTTCAGGAATTTTTGCACAGTGAATGAAAACCAAATCCAAAAAAAGGTAGAAATGGGTGTTGCTTGGGTTTTCGAAACAGATAAAAGTGTTGTTAGCATTGAACGTGCAATCGAAGGAGAAGGTGGTGTTAAAGGTGGCATTTTCACGGTTGATTCCACTCCATTCAAGCCGAGTGACAACGTTCAAGGAGCTATCAATCATGTATTTATCCTTCATCATTCACGTTTTCCTCAAAGTACTTTCACAATAGCTCCAAATGAAAAACAAAAACATTGTCCGCGTGCAATATCCGATCGTGGATTTGACTGTATCTTGGCAAAGCTGAGTTCAGGATTGGTACAAGATACTGCCGGAAAATTCCAAGTTTCTGGACATGAATATACATTACAAGATTTTATTATTCGAACCGGGAATGCTTCAATGGGTGTAATTAGCAAAGGCGTTATTGTTGAAGTTGAATATGCACCGTCTTGCGTAGCATCACAATGTGGCAATTTTTTGCAAGAATTTATTGCGGTGTTTTTTCCGGACCATGTTGCTGATAAGCCGGCGGTTTTGCAAAAAGCCCAACCAGAACCATATAGTGCCCTTGATACTATGCATCAATATTTAGATATTTTTCATAATATGCGGAAAAAAACATAATTCCGTTTCTTTCATGTATTCCAAGCATTGAATGCAACATTGTTATCAATCAGTTTGAAACTTTCGCAGTAAGTTGAGAATTATAAAAGCTTGAAGAATTTGTGTTAAGTTCTTTAAGTTCAAAATTTACTTGAAACTTTGAAAAATGAACAGTTATCAAAAGGCTTCAATTGGCCACAGAATAGCTTTGATTTCAGTTACAGAATCAGAATAATATCCTTCTTTATCAAGGAAATTTTGAACACCTCTACAAGTTTTTAAATTTCACTTGTTGTAAAAATTTTCATGCATGTTTGATTTTATCATTTTAGAAGGGATAAATTTCTAAGCATTATTTGCTATTTCCTATGATTCTCACATTGCTGCTCTGATTTATGTAAATAAATGCTAATTTCATCAAGTTCATTTTTATTCGAATGCTTGCATTTGTTCACATTTTTGTGACTGAAATAAAGGATTAGAACATTTTGTAAAAGATGCGAGTGTTATACATTTTTGATTAACTTTATCCGTCTTTTCCAAATCCTCCAAACTTGTTCCTTTCGTTTCGGATAAAAAAATGAAAAAGAACACAAATGCAATCATTGTAAGTGCCGCATATATGAAGAAAGCTGCTGAAAATTGTAAAATATATTCTGCAAATTTCAACATTTAAAACTAATTAGAAAAGATTTAACCAGCAATGAAAACATAATCAAAATTAGTCACGATCTGAACCACTAGTTCACAACGTGTACGTCTTATAAAAGTTTGCATCTGCATATATTCAGATTTGACGTACGACTTATTCATTACCATATTATCTATCACAAAATAGGTCACGTGAAGTGACTGGATAGTTTCATTGATGCTTTTTCTTTTGCTTAATACTAATTTCGTATAATTTAATAAGTGATTGTGAAATAAATTATAAAACATCCCGAAGTTCTTACAGTCTCTTCCAACATTACGGATTAGTAAGATGAAAGATATTGAAGCGATGATATCAAAGAACCAATTGCATGATGCAGCAATGCTTACACAAATACTTCGTGCCCACATGGGATAAATTTCGGCATTAATAACCCATGAAGATGGTGCATAACCTGAAAATATTTTAATTATCTGAAAATATTTTAATTACCTAAAAATATTTTAATTACCTAAAATAAGATAATAAAATTTTCTCTTTTTTTTCTTTTTACCAAATTTTAAAATTATTTTGAAATATTCGATAATTTTTAAGTAAAATTTGCTTTTTCATATATTTCATAAAAAAGAAAAATTAATGGAAATTAAAAATAAAAGCGATATTTGGGAATATTTTAGGAATAAAGAATAATGAATATTGGTACCACAAGCAAAGAATATGATGAAAGTTACGAGTGGAACCAGAAGTAGAATGATATAGCCGGTGGAGCAGTAATCATCCATCCAATCATACCCTATTGAACAATTTGTGAAAGAACATGGGCCTATTAAAGATTTTGATTCAGTTATACTGGCCTTTTGATCGATCGGTAAACAATAACTAAAATTCATCAATTTTTTATTTCTTTTTTTTGAATAGAAATATTCTGCTCCTATTTGCTGGCCCTTAAAAATATTTTGATTAACTATATTCAGCCTAGAAATTTTTGCAATGGATATTAGAACATAATTTCTCTCTTAGATCATTCATGTACAGAGAGATGATTCGTGTAAATTATTGCTATTTTAATCATTATCATTATCATTTAATCACCATCATCATAATTTCTTTTTTGTTAAATTTGTATAGAATTATTGCTTTCATTATTCCTGTCACTATCGTTATTGTTATTATTAATATTATTATTATTACTATTGTTATTATTATTATTACTATCATTTTCACTATTATTATTATCATACTATTGTTACAACTATTATTATTACTATAATAATATACCTTATAATTTGCTAAATACCGGCCGTTGAATTATTTCGTTTGATTTTGTTCAAATTTTTGTATCTTTTATAAATTGTAAAAATTTATTTCAACTGATCATTTTCATTTCCTTCATTTTATATTTGCTTTGAAATAATAATCATTAAATTTAGAAATCATTTACCCATAAGTTGGAGAATTCTTTGGCATGCAAAAACCACAATGGTTATCATTGGTGCATGAATTACAATTTCTAAAATGATATGATATCATAACTATATTTGATTGCGATGCTATTAAGTGATAATTTAATTTAGCCTAGTGAGTTTTTCATTTTTTAGATTTTAAAATAACTATAAAATTATTATTAATAGTTTGAGGGCAAAAAGGAAAAATTTAGGAAATTAAAATATTAACTTAAACTGGGCACAATGTTTGAAGTATGGAACGAAATCTGGAATATCATCTTGAAACGTTTCGTTCAACGATACAGCAAATACGGAATCGCAGCTAGCGTATCCGAATGAAACTCCCATAAAGACAAGTGCAAAAATTACACCTGCTACTGAACTAAGCAATACTTTTCGTCGACCGAAACGTTCAATGATTAACATTGGAATTATGGTACTCAAGAAATTTATTACTGAAAGAAAATGAAACTTGAATTCGAGAATTTGAATTCGATACTGAAATTTAAGTAGCAATTTTAAACATTCGTTTAAAGCTTTATCGTAATATTAGTACTAAAATAACAATAAAAAAAGGCTTACTTAATTATGTTATTTATCGATCCGACATTAATTATGCTTAGGAAAACTAGCAAAATTTGTTTGATATGGAACCATTCAAAATATCCTTTCAAAAAATTTACAATTTGTCTATGAAAAACAAATAATATAATTAAATCTCAAACGTTTCATTGACATCCAAAATTAATTAATTTGAATTTGTAAATAAGGAGTTTGTAAAAAAGGAAATTAATTAGAATTCGTAAATTTTGTTTTTGTTAATAATTTTGCAAAAGTTTTTTGTTATATGTAAATTAATTACCCAAAATAAGACTTGAAAGCCAAATAACTGATTCCACTTCTTTAACACCAGCTGATCTAATGATTGTTGACGAATGATGACTGATAATTGATAAAAGTTAACAATTAATTTGAATTATTCAATTTATTAATTTTTTTTTAAAACAATTATTAACAAAAAAAAAAGAAGGATATAATTCCCAATCATAATTTAATGGAAATTTTGAAGAAAGTTAACGGATTGATAAAATAATGGAAATTCAGTTAAACTCAGAATAATCTATAAGAGAGATTATTTACTCTTACTCTAATTACAGTTTAAAAAATAATATATTTTAATCAATTTTAATTAATAAAAAAACTTGCATGATAGCATTTATAGCTGATAATTGTTGAAATATTTGCAGCATGCAACCAAGTGCAATTTGCTGCAATGCATGTATATCACGGGTAATATGCATTATACGCCATCCACCTATAGATTATATCATTTTTCAATTTCATTTATTAATTTACAAATTATTCAATGTAGTAAAATTAATAATATGAAGAAGTGATGAAGGAGAAGTGAAGTGAATATGAAATGATTAGAAATCAAATTATTAAAATATTAAATTTTTAATTTCATAAATCTATTCGTTGTAATTCATTTCTCTTTTATATTATTATTAGCTTTACGAAGCTTAAATTTATTAAGTTTTCAAAAAAAAAAACGGTGGAAAATAATTTAATTCAAAAATGGGAATAATCTTAGAGAGAATAATATTAATGTATTAGTGACAAATATAAAATGATATGAAAAATAGATAAGTTAGAGGCACTTTTAATTTAATTCAAATTGAGCCTTTTCTTTACATACCTTTTAACATTTCTCTAAGCCTTTGTTTATAACCAATGTAAATATTCAAGCAATCAATTTCTTTTTGCTGAAGGTTTTTATCATTTTGATAAAGCCATTGTGTTACCTATAAGATTATCAGTAATATAAGTGATTTGATAAAGCCATCGTGTTACTTATAAGATTATCAATGATATAAATGATTAAATTCATAATTTGCATAAAAATAACGAACAAAAAAAAATCGTTAAAAATTTTATTTTGAAATTATTTTTAAAAACTCAATCAAATATTTTCCACATTTTATTACATTATCAAATTAGAAGCAATATTTTTATTGTAATCTCATCGATCGATGTCGGAAATTTGTAGAAATCATTATAAATCATTTTAAATCATTATAAATTATTATAAATCATATAAATCATTTTTTTTTTAGAAAATAATAATTAAGGATAAATTACTTTAATGCCTTCTTCTTGTCGATCATTAGCACATAGCCATCGTGGACTTTCGGGCATGAATAAGACGATGACAAATTGGATTAAAGTTGGAATAATTGTGAAACTAAACATTAAACGCCAGCCAATATAAATAGGTTCTATATAAGATAACATACCTAGAGTAATTAAAATTTTTGGATAAAAATTAAATTTGTCTAATTAGTGATTAATAAAAGAGATTAAGATTAATTAGTCAATTTAAATTTTTAAAATGAATGAAAAAAACAAACTATTTTTGCTTGATATTAAAGAAATTTAACAAAATTTCTAGAAAATTTACAATTGACTGAATTTTGCTCATTAATCAATTTCCTCTTGTTTTAACAACAACATTGCTTTAATCGAATTTTTTTCAATCCACCGTTTTGCTCCGTTTGCTCTGCGTATCAAAATTATACTAATTAGTTGTTTTCAAAAGCATATTGTATATTTTGAAATTTTACCCTTTCAAAATCTTTAATGAATAAATGCGAACTGATAATAGAGGTGGAAATTTTATAGTTTGCCATAAATTTACGACTATCTTACAAATTAATTTTGTAAAATAAAATTTTAGTAATATAAAATTGAAAATGTTATTTAGCCAACTTTTTTTTTAATGATAAATATTGATAATTATACTTGCAACAATATTTGCTGATGCTAATCCAAATGTAATAAACATTTGAAATGATGTAAGAAGATAACCACGATAATTAGGTGATGATATTTCACTGATATATACCGGTACGGTACTTGAACCAAAACCTTCAGTTTTATACTTTTCCTATTATTAATATTGATATTATCGATGAAGTGAGAGAAGAAAATTTAATGAATTATCAGAAATATGCTGTTTTTTTTTTTAATTTTCTAATTTTTATTTTTTGAAATTTCAAAATTAAACATTTTTCTTTTTTGCTGCAAATTCAACAATAAACGATATTTCAACAACATTCTACAACAAGCTGAAAAAACGAAAAAAATTATTTTGTAATTAATATAAATTAAACATTAAGAAATTTAAAACAGAAATTTAAAATAATAATAGAAAATAATTTAGGAAAAATGAAATCTAAATTAGAAATTAAGGGATCCAAAATTAAAATTAAGAAGTTTAAAATTAAAATTCAAAAACAATAATAATATGAAGTAATTTAAGAACAAAGAAAAGAGTGAAAAATGAAATCTAAATTAAAAATTAAGGAATCTAAAATTAAAATTTAAAACAATAATATCGAGGAATGATTTAAGAAAAAAGAAGAGTGGGAAAAATGAAATCTAAATTATAAATTAAGGAATCGAAAATTAAAATTTAAAATAATAATAAGAAGAAATAATTTTAAAAAACGAAGAGAAAAAAGGAAACGAAAAGATTAGAAATAAGCTATTAAGATAATTATAAATTAATATTTAATTTAAAGTAGTTCAGGTTTCTGAGCCATGTTTAATAAGCTATTAAGATAATTATAATTTAATATTTAATTTGTCAAAATCATTCAACAACAACAACAACAACAACAAAAAATAGTTAGCAAATGATTTTAATAATATCAACTTTTATTACTTAATGCGATTTTTTTTAATTAGAAAATTTTTTAATAATTTCAGGAGAGAAACAGTTAATTTTCTTGTAAATGGCCTTAATACATTCACATAAAATATATTTAATGGCCTAAAATAGGAATGAAAAAAATATTGAGAAAAATAAAATGCTTACCTAATGCAAAACCAATTATAATTCGTCCAATAATAAGCATTGTTTTATTTATGGAAAGTGAACACAATAATGCCCCAATTATATCACATATAATTCCACTTAAAATAGCCCTTTTACGACCAAATTGATCGCTTATTGGTGCAGCTAATAAGGCAGCGATTATTGCTGCTCCTAAATTTAACTTCAAAAAACTTTCTTATATTTTAGCATAATTTAATGAATGTTATAATATTTGAAAAATCATTTAGCAATGATATAAATAACGAATAATTAATAATAATACTAATTAATTAATTGAATAATAGATAGCTTAGTAATAGAAATAATTAATAAATGCAAATTTAATGCAATTTTATAAATTTCATTTGTTATTTTGTAATTTCGAAATTTTTCTCCCTCTAAGAAAATAAATATTACTTATAAAATTTTGTCAAATTAATTTATACTACTATGAAATGTTTGCCGATTTAATATTATTTGGTCAGAAATTTTTATGATTACTATCATCATATCATGATAATATCATCGAATATCATTCATTTTTTTTACGATGTATTATCAGTAATATCATGTACCAGGTGCGGTAATCATTAGAATATAAAGAAATGTTTGATCAATAGGTTGCATAGCTTCATTATGTTGCAGGTAAAATGAAGCATTTGTTGTAATTCCACCCTCGAAACCAAATATGAAGCCAAAAAATGCCGCAGAACCAGCGGCTATATAAAGATGGCGTAAACGAAATAATTGAATCGATGTTATATATGGAATATTCATGTTAAAAAATGTCTCAACTGCAAAAAACAAGGAAACGAATTAATTAGAAAAATTAATTTAAAAAAAAACAAATTAAATTTATTTCAAGGTAACTAATTGGACAAAGTAAAAATAAACAAACTTAATTTAATTCCAAAGAATTATTTCAATAAAATTAACAATGGATAAATTAAATTTTTAATTTTAAAAACAAAATTTTTTTAAAATTTAATCTTTCATTATATTATAACGTTGATAAAAGTGTTTGTAAATGTGGCATATAAAAATTGTAATAAAAATGATAAAATGACAAAGTGATAAAATAATAAGATGATAAATTAATTATTATTAATTTTAGCATATAAAGTGATAAAATGATAAAATGATAATTAATTATTATTAATTCTAGTATATAAGGTGATAAAATGATAAAATGATAAATTAATTATTATTAATTTCAATATATAAAGTGATAAAATGATAAAATGATAAAACGGTAAATTATTTATTATTAATTTTAGTATATAAAGTGATAAATGATAAAATGATAAATTAATTATTATTAATTTTAGTATGTAAAGTGATAAAATGATAAAATGATAAAATGATAAATTAATTATTATTAATTTTAGTATATAAAGATTCATTAATGAAAAAATTATTATTGAAGAAATTGAATTAATTAATTAATTAATTGAAATATCATATTAATTGATCCTTTCTGATATAATCCTATCATTAAAGGAAAACTTTTTTCTCTCCCGTTAACTATTTGAAATGGAAATAATATTTAATTTTGGATGTAAAAGAAATGAAATAATGCAACAACAGAAATATAAAATAAAGAATTATAAATGGTTGGCAAAATTAAAAGCCCTTAGCTTTAATGGCTCTATTGCAATGATTAATATTAGTGTTATGACTAAAACATTGAATATTGAACTTAACAAAGTGTAACAACAACACAAGTAAAGAAAAGTAGACATGATGAAGTTAAGCTTTTTTTTTAATCAAATCTATCCACTCTTCCTCTCTGCTCTCTACTATTATATTCTTGACAGATGAAGAATTTTATGATAAAAATTTAAAAAAGTTCAAATTACTTCTTAAATTGTCATAAATGGAATAATTATCCATCAAATAATTTTCGTTAAAATTTCATCGAAAATTAAAACAATGCTAATTATCATTACAATATAAGCCATTTTGTTGTGTGATAATCGTTTGCTTTTTCGTCACAAAAATTGAATGACTGAAATAGAAAATTAATATTCGAATTTTAGAAATGAATATCATCTTTGTCTACATAATGTTTGCAATTGTCTACATAATGTTTGCATTATCTATCGCATAAAGCGAAATAATTTATAATAATTAATATGTTTAAATAATTAAACTAATTAGTGTTGCAGAAATATTTATCACTCAAATGGTTTATAAATTGCAATTTAATAAATGTCAAATGTAAGCAATTATTTAGCTTATTCTCATTCTTCTTTCCGATTATCATGCTTATCAATAATTGTTTAAATTACCGGAAATAATTCAGATGCAAATGTGCCCCATCTTGATGACTTTATATTTAATGATTATGCTATAATGGGCTCTTCTTTTACATACCTCTATTCACATTCACATATCTTCCCTTTCATCCAATAACATTTTTTCTTCTGATGCCTATTAACATCAAATCCGCTGTCAATTAATAATAAAACTTTATTCAAATTGAAATCTCTTCACGACACTTCTTGCTATTAAAATCTTGAGATGATGAAAAACTACCATTACTCGTTGCGTTGATTTTATATACCTAATTAATATCGTATGGAAAAAATTGATGTTTACTTTCATTGTCGCATTATTCCTTAATCAGTAATGCATAGCCAGGCATTGCTTTCGAACGAATCAATTCAAAAAAGCAACGCTCCGTTCTAAACCATTAATGTTATTTGGAATATTTTAAAAGATGAAAAATTGTGCAAATGTAGAGTAGGACAGGATATTACGTATTAGTTGATGTGATAGTAAGCATTTGTATCCTTTAGTATAAATAGCTGCAATTAGTAGTGCTCCCTTTGAAATTATTGACTAATTACGGATAATTACTTGATCATAACTTGATTTTGATAAAAGATCATTTAATGATCTTTTATCATTTAATTAAACTTTTTCATTTAATGATCATTAGATCATTTAAAGATCATTTAAAAAGATCATTTAAAAGATCATTTAATTAAACTTTAAGAAGTTATAAAAGAGACAAATGTTATCATATTTTATTTATTATATCTCTATAAGACTAGTCACAAACGGATTTTTAATTATTCTCAAAAGACATCTTTCTTCTTTCTTCGAGTATCCATCAAGCCGTTGAGTCGCTGTTGCTGACTCAATAGCTGTTGTATTTCGTCGCGACACTTTAATAAATTTTTCTTCAACTTATTAACTGTAGCAGCATCACGCTGATTCCGTGTAATACCTTCACGTAGATTACGTTCCCTTCCTTTCAGCTCCTTCAACTTCTTGTCCAAATCTAATGCTTGAATACCGAGAGTTGTCGAGGAAAAATTCTGAAAAATAGTTTTTCAAAGCAATATGGATAGGCAACTTCCCACTGTACTATTTTTTTCACTCCAGTTAGTGTGCCAAGAAAGATGAAGTGGGAAAAAAATGCAGGTTTAGAAACACAACAGAAAATTGCCTTAAGCATACAAATCAACTTCGAATTTCATACTAATTTGATTTTCTTATAACTATGCCAGCAAGCACTGCCAACACAAACATGATTTAGCCGTCAAACAGATAATGTATTTGCCAGTAATAAGCAACTGTTTTCAGTTCTAAGTAAAAACAATTCCAGTTAAAAATTTTTGAAAAAATCAACTATAAGAAATCAGCCTTGAAAATCACCCACAAACTGAATTTATGATCAATTGGTAAAGAATCTGCTCACCTGTAATTTTTCTATTTCCTTCACTTCATTTCTTTGCCTTTCCACATCTGAAGCTTTGTTTAATTCACTATTCAGTAATTCGAAAACATCAACTGGATGATTAGCAGCTTTCAACTGCTTCGAGATTATTTGCTTCGTCTGTCGCTGGCGAGATTTCATTCCATCTACCACTCTTCTGTTCTTCGCTTCCATACACATATCCAATGATTTATCTTAAAAAAAGAAACAAATCTCTTTTTTAAATGAAATAAAAACGATAGAAAAGATTAATTAGAGTAGAATAATAGATTTGAAACAAATAATAGATTTTGAACTGCAATATAATTTAAAAAAATGGCGACATAATTTATTATCTGGAAGTAAAATTCGCAGAATACCTGTTAGCTTACATCATACAGCGAGTTTTTTTTTTCACATTGCTAGTGTATAGCATGAAGTTAGAACCTCACTGTGAACGACCAGACAACATTAATGATCCTCGCAATAGTATTTGAACTTTGCCAAGAACAAAAAATGAAAAATTTATATACTTTTTGGGAAAATTACTGGTTGTATGGCATGTACAATGCCATCAGATCTTCTACCAAGCCCCTCACCAGCTCGATAACCCATTTTCAGTAACAACTTCATTCCGATACCACGTGTGTGCTTTTCCCAATCACCGATATCGCCAACGGTAACATTTCCGCGTCTTTCTTGTTTATAGTCTTTCCATGAAGTCGCTGCTAAATCTTCGGTAGCAACTTCATCTCGAACATCTAGAACAATATATAGTTCTAGTTCTAATTTAAACTAGGTTTATCAGAAAAAGCTTAAATCAAACAACGAGATCTATTACAGTCCAATTATTTTCTTGCTTGCTACAAGAATTTGGTTACAAATATGAATTTTAGCAGAGAATAATTGAACTAAACAAGGGAACACATAACACCATTCTACTGAGAGCTCAGCTAGAACATTAAAATAAACGACTGAAAGATTACGACCTATTTCGCAAAATGGTTGCTTAATTGAGTTCAATGTACTTACTGACCAGCTATAGATAGACACATCCCATTAAATTGCTGTTTTGTTCCAGTTCCAGACAGAAATACATTTTGAGTGTTTTAAGTAAAAATTTAAGAAACACTCATATTTAAATAAAAATTTGAGCTTAAAAGAAACCTTCAGCGTCATTAGCTAGTTGTGCGATTGGATAAATTTTATTTCGATCCACAGCAATTTCTTTTCCGGTAAGCAATAGCCGAACGGCTAATTTCTCACCATCCATAGCAGTAACCCGAGCACTGCTCCATAACTTATTTTCACCCAACACGAGTATAATAGAGTTTTCTCTCACCATCCTAGATAAAACCACGCACCTTTTTTATCGAAAGAGATTGTAAGAGAAATGCAAAAATTGAATCCTTATTCAATTTTCAATTTATTATAGTTATCTGTTTGTGATAGATAATAACACAGCGCATGAAAGGCATATTTATAAACATACGAAATATCAGGTTGTTGATATTCTTGAAGGGCTGAAAACAGAACTTCTTCACCATGCGAAAAACGACATTCATTCCCATAATTGCAGCGATCATTAAGAAAATATTCACAAGGTTTCATTGCTGCTTCGAGAGGATGACCATATAATACTTTAACCTATAATCATGAAAAGTAACAAACTCAAGCACATGAAATGCTGTCTAAAAAATCTGACATTCCATTTTATTAAATACAAAGTTCACTGATTCAGCTATTTTTCAACGTTACAAATCAATCCTGCTGTAAGGAAACATTAAGAAGATCAAAACAGCTGACTTTAAACTCACAAAAATTATTTAGCAAATAAACCTTGAGGCTATCCTCTTTCTCGTTTGAATTTTCAACAAAATCTAAAATGACAGCATCGTGGAAATGCACTGCTCGATCAACGGTTCGATTGTATGGTGCAAGGCAGTGCATTCCAATTAATTGATTGGAATCTTGTACGTCAGCGTCAACGCAAGCTTCATTGAAATCTTGTTCAGTCACTGAGCTTGTTTCATTTTCTTCAATAAAATCAACAACGACATAGAAATGAATAGATTTTCAAAGTCTCAAAGGACTGCATAAAATACTTAAAGTTGAATAAACTTATAAAATCATTCCAGGTTTTGAAAACCAATGAACAATACTAAGTAATCCAAACTTAAGCCAACGGTTTCTTTATTAGCTGAAATCATCAGTTCAGATGGGGGAATAAATGGTACGCTTTGCTTAGCAGTATCTAGAATTTTCTCAAGATCAATTATGCACTAAGTGGAAAAAATTTACTGGAGTGATCATTATTTAGTTTAAATTCGAAACTTTTTGCACATAAAAAGTAGAAAATTCTTTTATATATACATATCAAAACTGAAATCTCTTTACCAGTCAAAAGCTCAATAAGCTCCACTAAGTCAGCATGTGAATCCATCAAAGTATTTCTCTTTTCAAGATCTGTACATGTTTCAAGCTCCGCGTCAATTTCTTTCAGCTGAAAAGGACAGAATTTTGCACGAATTTGCTTCTCAAGATTTCACGTAACTTTGCCCTTAGAGTATTCAGCATATCTGTGACCTCAGTATGATTGCCCTTTGCACTTCTCCATGCACAAAAATTTTCACAACGAATGCTAACTGCATAACAACGAGATTTATTTGCAGTCACTTGAATAGGTACTTACTAATCCATTTTTACCTCTGTATTAAAATGATGAAATAAGACAAGCATCATAGCTGACGAAAATCTTATTGTTCGACAAAAAAAATCACTTTAAAATAATCTTAACAAACCTGCAACCGATAGCTTTCCAATTCATTCCGTTCCATAATTTAATTCTGACGATAATGTCAATTCAAATCCCAAAGACACAACGTAATCATATTAAAAACCAATCTGTTGTAACCATTATTTGAAATATTCAAGCTAAATACATTTAATTTTCGACATGAAATTATGTAATGAAATGAACCTGTTCAATTTTCAACAGTTCAACAGCGCTTTCTCCAAACAATTCTGCAACTTCATGTGCAATTGATGACAATGAAGTGGCAAAAAATACATACTTGGACTATAAAGTTCAACATAATGGAAATATGAAATTGAAAAGATAATTAACTGTTTAAGCTGGCTGTGTAGCAAACCAGAACTTCCTGTTCAAAATCAAACTCAAAAAATAAGAAATTTATCGAACGCAAAAAACTTTTGAGACTGTTCAATATAAACACAAAGTTCAGCATTATGTATATATGACAGCCGAAGGAGATAATAAAATAATCATACATTTTTTCAACAATATAACAACGAACAAGGAATTAGTACTATATTGTTTATAGGAAAAAATTTTCTCCAAAAAAATATAACTCGAAATGATGGAACTATAACTGTTCCTAAGTTGTTCTTCAAAACCATTATCGATTTATTCCAGAACAAAAGACCCATACTGCTTGTTCCATGCTCGGTACCCTTCGAGATCCTTTTCAACAACTGTTGGACGAACGAAACGCATTGCTGTTTCGAAATCGGAAAAAGATATTGGTCGAATCTGAATAAATATTTTTTTTACTTGACAATATTATGAATGCTTAACAATAGGAATGGAAAGGATGACTAGGAAATGAGAATACAAACGGTAAGAACCGTTCGGAGGGATCAATAATTGCTTTCTGAAATGGAATGCCGTACAGATCTCAATGACTTTCAGATTTGACGTTATGGAGAAAATTTCTGAAAACTAACATCGTCAGCGTTTATTGAAGCAATATCGAGTGATGATGAATCTACAATATTACGAACTGGAACCATCGCTGCCTCGGAACACAGTTGCTTCATATCCGCACCAGAATAGCCTATAATATTCTGACAATAAAATTTATTCCATTTGCAGTAGCGAAATAATAAAATCCTCTTCGTGCTGAAATAACAACCACAGTAACCTCTCAGGTTAATTTTAAAAAAGGAATAGAAAAAAGAATGGTATCTTAGTTTTTATGGAAAGAACTCGTTCAAGAGGGTGATGAACAGTATTCAATGAACGTATTAGATATTAATGATAAATTCTATCCGAACTCACCATTCGTTAATTTCGCTATGCATTGTACATCGTCATCGGAAAGATCGTGTTTCTGGTCACTGAGAAGTGATTGAATCATTTGTATTCTTGCAGATTCACATGGTAAGCCAATATACAGTCGTTTCGCAAAACGTCGTTTAACAGCCGAATCCAATTCCTGGGGTCTTAAAAAGAAAAACAATTCGCAATGGTGCAGTTTTATATTCTTTACTTAGTTAAAGTACTTCCGCAACGGCGAACAATAAAAATATGAAAAAGATCACACCTGTTTGTAGCTCCTAAAATAAGAATTCTTTCATCGGAGACGGTTGCAACACCATCCAAGTGAATAAGAAATTCAGTTTTTATTCGTCTTGATGACTCGTGCTCACTCTCATTCCGACTTGTAAGTAAAGAATCAATCTGATAATATAGCTGGATAAACTTAAACATTATGAAAGTAGTAACGGATTTGATCAATAACTTCATACTCTTAAACTCTTCGATGTCTTATCAATCCGGCTAGGCCGAAAGCTTCAGCAGTTCTGGATGAATAGTGTTAGAAAGCAAAGGAGACGAATGCACTTAACTTAAAAAATTAGCTTCGTTGGAACAAGGTAAATGGTAGATATAAGAAAAAATTAGGATAAAAAATTTGAAAATTCCATAAAGTGAAATTAAATTCAGTTCACCTCGTCGATGAAAACCACGGAAGGTTGCAAAACCCGTGCTATTGCAAAAAGGGCCCGGACAAGTTTTTCACCTTCACCAACCCATTTTGACGTAATGGAAGACGCAGCTATGTTGAAAAAAGTTGCTTTACATTGTGATGCAACACATCGTCCTGCAATAATAATTTCATTAAACTAATTTATTTATATGAATCTACAGAAAATATTTAACACTACTTCTTAATAATCGAGAATGTATACTTACCAATCATGGTTTTGCCAGTGCCAGGTGGTCCGAAAAGTAATACACCTTTGGGTGGTGCACGTATGCCCTTGAAAATGTCACTGAAACAATATTCCATGAGAGTAGGAACATAAACAAAATGGACTAAAAAATCGATAAAAAACAGAAATATTGGTGACAATAAACTGCAATTTCTGCCATTTTGAACAGTAAAGTGAACAAATAGGTTCTACCTTATGCCCTTTAATGTATAAAATTGTAGTTTCTCGTAAAATCAATTTCGATATGTAAAAATTTCCTAGCAATTTTTACAAAATATTACCAACTGAATCCAAATAAATGTCAAAAAATTAGGTAATAAGAATTACAGAAATAGCGTATTTTATTCGACATAATCTGATGCAAGCATTCCAATTACCGAAAGGAATACATAATGAATGCACAGCTAAGAGTAAAGTAACTCAGTGATATAGATATTTCTATGCGTTAATATCAACTGCAAAGGCAATGCTAAATACATACGGTCTGAGAAATGGAAGAACGATAATTTCTTTGAGCGCCTTTTTCGCCGGTTCCAAACCAGATACGTCGGTCCACTGAATGTCCTTTCGTGTTGACATAATATGAAAATTTAAAAAACTTTAAAAAGTTCTCAATCAATTTCAAAAAGACTCATAATCTTTTCAAAAAATATCAAAATCTAAGAATTTGAACATTGTTATGCGTGAAATACTTTTGCTTTTTTACATGACTGCTTTACAATAAGCACATATTAGGATTAAGTTATGTAGCCATATTTCATGTTGTTAAACATGATTTTATGGTTCAAAGCTACTATTATGCTTAGATAAGTGAGTTCAAGACTTATAAATAATGTACTGTTACCATATGCCCTGATATAGTGAAAATGGCGCAATAAAATAAATAAGAATAAGAATAAGCTAAATAAGAATAAGCTGTTTAAAATTCAAATTCTAGTCTATTAAAAATAGATTACAGCTATAAACCTCAGCTTCAATTATATTAATTATATTGTCATCCAAATTTTTCAGTGATTCATCCGCTTTCCATCCTTCTCTTTTACTAGTAACTCCACACCCGCCATTCACCGTAGTTTGTCTGTTTTGCAGTGATTCATTGCTATTTCCTTTGGCATGTATTTTATTTATTAATTCCTGATTTGTCAGAATAATTCGTCTGAAAATGTATAATTTTAAAATTTCAAACATACCAGAACGAAGCACAAGAAAAACCATCTGTTATGGAAAAGCAACAGCACAATACATAAATGGTCGGCAGTAAATGGAAAAAGCGATTTCCTAACCAACATCTAATAAGACTGAAAGCGTACAGAGAGAAACATGGCTCAGAAACCTGAACTACTATGACACCATCCAAACAAAGTGAACAGTAGAAAAATAATATTATCAATTTCGGATATGAATGCAAAAATTTGTAAAAAGGGGTAGTAGAAAAAGATGAGATGGGGTTTACCTTCCTCCCAAATATCGTTGTGCCATTTCTCTATTGGCATTTAACTGAAAAAAAAAAGAATGGAAAGCAATTTATTTTGTAGGTTCTTTAAAATTTATCGCCAAGAATGAAGCATTAAGCTAATGACTAATTATCTAAAAAGACCTATCGAAGTTAACAAAGCTCAAATATTGCACTTATTTCATTGATAACAGTATAAAGAAATGCTTAGTTAAATTTATTAGGTTTTTAAAGGGACATTATTCTTTCGTCCATTAAAGTAAATTTTCTGTAAATCATTTCTTCTTGGAATGTTGAAATATAAACTGCAGAAGATATATAAAAAGCTCATTGTTAAACATACGTTATCGGTAAGTACAGGCATTACTTTTCTAAAGGGTGGTCGTCCACTGGCACTTCTAAAAACAAAGCTTTATTGCAAAATAACAGAGTAACCACCACTATAAAAATAATGGTTTCAAAAGGTATGCAGACTGCTTACGGCTAAACTTTCAAGATAAGTTGATCATTAAGTTTCCCAGAATTATATTTTGGAGCTTATTTAAGCTATTTAAGCTGTTCTAAGCTGTTTTGTTGGAAATTTATATTTAAAATCAGTGCAACCGCTGAAAACGTAACAAATAGACACTGTATATGTCATAAATCATAAGAAATTGCATGTCTCCCGACAATTCCAAAAAGTTGCAAAATGAAGTAAAACTATACTTGAAATCTGTATCAAATCCTAATCTTGGATATACAGCATTCTTTCTAACGATTCGATAACACTTTCCAGGTCCAACATATCTACCCGAATTGATGCCGTATGGATATTTCACGTTAGGTTGATTTACTGACAGTGAATTATTCTGAAAGTATGATAAAAATTGGTTGATTCCCAATCTGCTATGTTCAGGAATGAAAAAATAAGAACGTGCAATAATCTGGAATTTAACTAGGAAATAAAGGAAAAACAATACTATTTTCGCTACAATACGCCTGAAAGGGTAGTTTGAATCTGAAAGACTAGTTTGAACTTAAAACACAATGCTGGTTCGTTATGAGTAAGGATATGCTTTAGAAGTAAGGAAGAATTAGGAAATGACGTCTTTCCATTTAGCTTAATTGTCCAAAATAATCTGTTTCCTTAATATACGCGTTGGTAAATAGACTGCACAGCAGACAAAAATAACTATTAAATAGTAGTTTGAATTAATTACTTACCATTCTACTCAAAATCCTCTTCTGCAATTTCAGAATTTTTGGATCGTGACTAAAATCGAAACGGCTTCGTTTAGTTGTTTCTGGTTCTATCTGAAATGAAACGAAGAACCATACTTCCTGATTTCTTGAAAAAGTAATTTTTATCTACATTAACCTATTGCATAATTTTCCAAATAGCAATGCTTTCCCCAAGTTATCATTATTAGAAAGTGTGTAAATAAGTATTAAATGATAATTACATAAAATAAGTAACACACCCAAACTTTCTAATGAAAAAGCAAAATTCCAATGGAAGCTAGAATCATCAACATCATCAACATTTAATTAGTCAATTCAAATTTGATTAAAATTTATACTTCCGCTCAACAAACTGCTCGACAAATTACGTCTCATCAATACCAACTTGGAATAATGCCAAAATGAAAATAATTTTTTCCAGAATTATTGTAGCGGGATTTTATTTGCATCAATGAGACATGCATAGTTTTTACTTTCAAACAGGAAAGGAAAACTCAAACTACTTGATAAAATATCTTAAGCATTTCGTAACCATACCTGATCCAAATTTGGGGATGAAAGACCGCTAACACTATCTGATCTTTTCGGATTCATTAATTCCTCCACTGATTCTTCACTTCCCTTCGAATTAGATAGCATACTATTGCAATCCACTGAATAATTCATTACTATGTTTTACTTCGATTATTTTATAATCATTTTTTCAAATGGATGAAAACTTAAACAAATCTATCATAATACAGCATTATTGGAGTCCTTCAAGGAGTGAATATATGCATGCAACTATTCCAGAATAACCGGAACGTAACCGGTATAACCGGAACATAACTGAGGAGTCGAAAATGAGTATAATAATACTTCGCAGAAATTAGTATAATAATACTTCGCAGTCAATTTAATTATTTATCACTACCACTGTTATTATCATTGATATCGTTCATTATCCGTTCCTCTCAATATAACTGATAACTTTTTGCCATTATTCCTATCACCACCGTTAGCCATTCAGTAATTTTCTCGCTTTAACTCACAGTTCGCTTTAATTCGTATCAATGTCTGCGGAACTTTATACATTACAATATTCCTTTCTACTTTTAATCATAGCGATAACTAAATTGCACAGTATTTCGAGCATTTTTTTAATCTATCTTTCTACGCTATTTAGCTCCGACATTTCTGCTTAATTCTCCGAAATACTGTGCTATTTCTATTACTTTCAATTACTGTATCCCTACAAAAAACACTATTATCTTCCCATTCCAGTATCAAAAAAAATGATTTGAAGAATCGAGAGTTGCACACGCGCTAAATGCTACGAAATATGGAAGAGGTGTGCAGATTTGGTCCGAGAAGTCGTTTTCATTGTAGTGGGGGGTTATATCATCCAGAAAAGCCTTCGAACATAAAGATATCCCTCAAAACTATTCTCTACAATACATTTTTCACAAAAAGCGGAGAAACATTAATTTCATACCTGAAACAATCTAAATCGTTCCAGAAAGGTATTTCTTTGGAAAACATTTTAAAGGATAATTTGACGTAACTTAATAATAATGTTAAAATATATTGGAATGTTGTACATTTTACAAGTATGAAAGTTAAATCTTCCCGATAAATTCTGTCCCAGTATTTGCATTTCTCATATTTCGTAGTTTCTCCGAATTTTTTAGTTTACGATTTAAGTTTTAAATTTAAAATCAAATTTCTCTTTCTTTCTTTAAGATTTTAGATAAATTATATTCAAATTGATGTAGATTTTGTTTTGTTGCCCATCCATAAAAGCTTTTCTTCAAAGATTTTTCATTTTTTCTTCAAACTTGCATTTTTTTAAAAATAGTTTTCAACGTAGAATAAATATTTTTTTCCTTAATTTTCTGGAAAAAATTATTAATCGATGGTATATTTACAATCATAAAGCCTTACTAACAACAGTTATTGCTATGAAAGTCTAAATTTTATAAATTTCAAGTAATTCTTAAAATTTTAAAATATTTTTTGTTGAATCAAATTGTATAAAAACACACCGTATAATCTAACCAATTTAAACAACAAATGTTTACTTTATTCTAAGCAGGAATTTTTTTCTTTATTCCAGGTAGTCATTTCATGGTGATGTAAGGCTAAACACAGGAATATGCCGAGTGATACATCTGGGAGAGGTGTCAGATAATTCCTTCAGATAAAAAACGCGTTGTTTGCTTTTTGAATTGTATGGAAAAATGTTGTTAGTTTAGCGCTATATGAAATGGCTAAGGTTAGTTTTATTGTAATGAATAAAAGAAGAGAAGGAAAAAACAAAGATAAAGAACTTTGCTTTTTATCAATCAAATTCAAATTTTTCATCAATTTTAGCAATTAAACTTCATCAATTTTAACAAACTTCTGATTCACATATTCAAGCAATAAAGTTTTAGAGTTAGTATTAATAACACCAAAGTAATGCCTTATGTTAAACTTTTACAATTGCTTTTTTATAGCAATTTATAATTTATGAAAAATAATGCGTTATTATTTTGTTTTTTGTAATTCTAATATTGCATCCACTGAGAAATATCGCTTATTATATATATATATCTTTAAAATTAATTTCTTCCAATGTAATGAGTGATATATTTTCGTTTAACAGGCAAATGGATTGGTGAAGGTAATGAAAATCTAGCCATATATTGCTAGATTATCTACATTGGCTTATCATCGTCTCTTCGAGAAAACAAAAAGTGGAGATATGCGTGTCAAAACTTTTTCAAAATTTCGTATCTTTGATCAGCAGATAATGTCTGCAGATGATTGAATGATTAATTATTTATTAAGCCAATGAAAGATGACTGCATATTAGAGGTACTTTTTCGACATCTTCATACTGAGCCCCTGTTATTAAACTTTATTATCAAAAACAAAAAAAAAATTCTTGTTAGCGCTTACATATAACATATTATAAGGAATTATATTCTTGTAGCACGATTAATTTCCTATTTCAAATATTTGCAAGGATACTGAATATCACAATGTCAAGATATGCTTAGCTTTTCAAAAAAAAAAGTTGAAATAATGTTTTTTCTCTTGTTTTGTCTCAGGGCAACAAATTTTGATAGTTTTTTAATGAAATTTTAAATTTAGATTTATTTTCATCACATAAGATGTTAAGCCTTAATGTATCATATTTTCATTTGCTTATGATGTATGCTCAAGTTTTTATTTATATCTATCATATTTTTATTAGAAAGTTTAAGGTGATGTATTTTCATTTTTATTCGTAGAAAATATTATAGTTGTTATGCTTGACATAACAGATTTTCATTTACATATAAAGTTAAACGTGTTGTATTTTTATTTGGAAAAAGTTTTAAAAAATCTACATCATGATTTGTATAAATTGTTACACTTCATAGTATTACAAGCCAATTTACTAAATTAACACCTTTAAATTATAATAAGATGCGAAATTAACTTATCTAAGAAACACATCCAAAAATTTGTTATGCAAAAAAGCAAAAAAAAATTTCATAAGTTTGTAAAAAGTAAAAATTATTTGCTTATTAGAGAAATGTCACATTATTTTATTGGATTGTTGTTTTATTGAATACAAATACGTATTAAATAACTTATTCGTTTTTTGAACATTTTCTGGTATTATCATAGATTAACGATAGTTGCGTAACATAACGTATCACAACAAGTATCAGATAAGAAGATATAGAGAGGAACGGAATGAAGAATGTCATGTAAACTGTCAATTGTGAATTGATGATTTTGATGATGAATTCACTGATGTGGCAAATTTAACAGCAGGTGGTGTATTAGTTTATACTTGATACTTCTTTCCTCATCCAAGTTATTGTCTATATTCAATTTCCGCATCAATAATTCCCACAATGTCTTATTTTCTTCATTCAATTATTTAGATAATGAAGTTTTTAGATTTTATCAAGTATTTCAATAATTTTCATTTCGTCAATTAAAATTACTCCAAGTATTTAAATGTTTCTGTGAAGTATACTCTTCTATATTAATAATATTAATTGAATATTTTCGTGTCAAATTGTTTAATAATATCACACATTGATATGTAACAGTGATTATCATCTTTAATAAATATTAAAAATATTGAATAATTTAAAATTGGATTTATCGATATAACCTGTAAGAAATTTTTGTGATGTAGTATAATTTAGATAATTTACCTTCATAAAAGCTAATCAAAAGAGAACTTATTGATTATTAGGAGAGAATAGTTTTCAATCAATTTTTATCTTTTTCTTCCTCACTTTCATAATAATAATAACAATAATAATAATAATAATAATAATGACAATAATAATTAATTAGATATAATTTACAAAAAGAAAATTTAGCCAAAATAAGTATAGAAACATATGATTATATATAATTACCTGGAAGAACTAATAATGATTTTCTTCATTAGATATTACTGAAATAGGTTAACCTTATTGATTAAGCTTTATCAAATAATTCACTGATTTGGTTTGTGTACCATTTTACATCTGCCATATTTTATTCTAATAATTTTCGATCGCAATTTACATTTTTTTCGAAAAGTGAATAAAAATTTTTAATTAAATTAACATCTTAAAAATTTTTTACAATTAGATATTTTTAAAAAGCATTAGTATAATGATATGTTAACATTAACCGGATTATAGTAACCGATATACAAATGTGGGATGCTTATTCCGGTTTAAAGGTACTTATGAAGTGATGCAATTCGGATAATGATCATCGTCAGCAAACCGAATGAGCTGAAATGTCGGGTCAAATGTTAATTAATTTAATGATTGTGACGAATGATGCAAGTGTATGCCAATAATTATTATAGTGATAATAATGTGAAAATAGAGCATTTGTCACAATAATAACAATTATCATTATAATATCATAAATCAACTGATTGTGATAACTATAATCGATACGATAACAATTTAACAATTTTTTCCATCCTAATCGTTTATTATTCATTTTTAACTTTTATCTTTGAGAATTTGAATAGGAAAAAATTTGATATGAAAATTTTGAGAAACAAAATTCAAATTGTTTACAAAAAGTTAAATTTCTCAGGTAAACAAATCTAAGATATAAATCTCATTTAATATATTATAATATTATTTACAAATAGTAAATGATATTGTAATAGTTTAAAAAATTTTCCTCTGACTTTTCAACAAATATATTATCATTTCAAGAGATCATTTAATGAATGAATGAATAATTAACTTAATGAGAAGGTTTAGTTACCACAAAAAAAGAAGAAAGGGGTGAAAGAGAGAAAAATTAAGCATATGTATGTGAGAATAACTGATTGTCCCCTAAGTGTCCTTCAAATTCATCCTTAACAGTAACAATAATTTGGGAAGTATAGCAATAGCATCTAAATGTGCTAAAAGCTAATTGCGCATTCTCAAGGGTTCATTTCACTTGGCCATAAAACATCGATCTGCAAAAACCCTTCAAAAGGTACCATTATTGATCATTTTTCATTTAATCCTTTTACTTACTAACTACGCGCTTCAGGCAATATGATCCAAACATTCTTGCAACAAAACGATTTTTATATTACTAATGATTTATCCTTATAAATTCTTTATAATTCATTGATGTTTTGCAAAGTAAAATGATAATCCAAAAAGTTTTATGATAGTAAAATGATAATATTATCAAATATGATTATCATTTAATAGAATAATATCAGATAAATTATCATCCAAAGAAATAAGTTCAATTTTTTTACTTCGACATTTTCATTTATTTTATTTTATTAATTTTTAGAAAGATAATTGATTTGATTATAAGAAAGAAAGAGTTGTTAATATCTTTCGATTGTATTTTGATAGTATTAAAATTTCAAATGATAGTATTAAAATTTTTGATAGTATTAAAATTTCAAATGATAATATTAAAATTTTTAGTAGTATTGAAAATTTAAATATTGCCGGAAAAAAGTGTAATAAAATTGGAAATTAAAGGAACTTAATATATTACTAAAATTGGAATTTAAATTCATGTTTTAGTCTCTCTTCATTTATTTCTTCATATTTGCTCTTTTTATTTTCATTCCTTTTGTTTTATTCTAAATAATACATTACTTCGATGAAATTTAATCGTTCATTTATTATGTAAAATTTGAATAAAAGTTAAATTCTATTTTTAAACAATTAAAATTTTAAAATTGTAAAATATTTTTAAAAATAACTTCTAAATTATCTCTCACACAGTCTTTTTTACTGTCAGAATTAATGAAATTTCAAAAAAAGAATTAAAAATATTTTGCAATTTCCCTTTTATTGTTAATTAATTTTAATTAACTAATTTAATTAATTTTAATATTAATTAAAAGTTAATCGAAAAATAAGCTGTCACTATCCATTTTGCATTTTTTATTTACGAAATTAACAACAATAGAAAGATAATAAAGGAAGCAAATTTAATGATGAATATTTTAAGCATATTGATGTTATTTGTTTGATAATCTGTCAGCTGATAGAATGAATTCAAATTTTTGATTGGTATATGTAAGATGGTATAATGATGATATATATTGCATCATCGCGCGATAGATTTGTTTACATAACACTGAAAACCGGATTAGTTTATCGGACAACCTGTCAAGTTGTTCGACAGCCCAACTCATTTTTAGGTGATGATATGTTTGGTGTAATTGAGCTGATAGTTAATATAATATTTCGCATCTTATTTAAATCTGTTTAATTTATTATTTTTCACTAAAATTTATTGATAATAATTATTTAATTTAAATATCGATTTAAATGATAATTTTAAATGATAATTTAAATGATAATCTTCGCATAATAAATTGATAAAATATTTTCCATGAAAATTTCAACGAAGTATGAAAAATTTAAACGGCAATTTATACAGATGTAAATTCCATCCAAAATGTAGTGATGATATTACAAACAAAAAAGTTAATTTGATAAATTAAAATCTTCGAAATTAATTATCATTTCATATATTGAATAGAAATGAAGAACTGTATTAAAATCAGCAGAAATTGTTAACAAATTCCATTCAACTTCAAGTACTATACGATAAAAAGTTATTCATAAAATTAAAACTATTAGATGAGCTAATTATTTAATTAAAACAAACAGCAAATATAAATATTGAAATTAAAAAATAGAAAATTTCTCTGTTGCAATTTATAAATAGTCTTATATTTGATGCTTAATTTTATAATTAAAGAAAAGCAAATACTCAGAAGCATTAATTGAACTTTAAGATAAATTGAAATCTTTGTTAAGCGTTTTCAGAAAAGTTTCAAATAAGTTTCTTTTTCTAAAACAATAAACAAACTTACTTTATATATCTGAATTTATCAGTAGATAGCATTGTTTTATCATTTCAAAGTAATTTTCCTGATAACAGTGATATCATGGATAATGAAACGATAGCATGCATTATCATTGAATTATCATTTGGAATAAATAAATTTGATAATAAATTAACCAAATAAAAATTGTTATATAAAATATTATTTTATAATCAATTCAAAATTATGCTTTTATTTTGTTAATTGTTTATTTTTTTAATTTAATTATTTAAAATAAAAGAGAATTATATTGTGTATTATTTTATCAATAAGTCAATAAATAATATGATTTATCAAATTCCAATAATATCTGATTTCTGGGAATTGTATAAATTACTGAATAACATTGATATATTGTATATATGGTTGATTATATTATATAATATAAAAGTGGAAAAGATGAGTGAGAAGATTACGGTAGATATTTGGTAAATGATTAATAGGAAGAGTTAGTTATAAAGAGGATGATGTTTAAATAAGCCTCTCCCATTTCTCCATACTAAAAACCTCTCTTCAGAATATTGCGCTTCCCTTATTACTTCTTCTACTACTAATAATAATAATGATAATTTGTTTTACCTTTAACATTCTTCCTTCTAATTCTCCACCTTTATTTTACATCCTGCCTTCTCTTCTCTCATCCTATCATTTTTCCCCGCCTTCACTTCCATATTTTTACCGTAATTTTGAAATCATTTCAGATAATATTAGTTGTATTAGTAAGACGATTTTAGAATCAACCATTATATGAGCTTTATAGTGGTATAATTCATTCTAAGCCATTTATCCATCTCTTTGTTTAACAAATAATTTAGCTTTTAACTTCAATGCTATCTTTTACCGTACAACATTTCAATTATTGTTTAAAATACTTTGACCTTCAACCCTTATGCTATCATTTCTGGATAATATTTGAACAGTATGGCTTTCTTAAATTCTAATATCATCTTTTCCGGATAATATTTGCCTGATCTGTATTTCAACCGTTTACTATTACTGGTACAAATAAAGGATTATACTAATATGATTAATTTTTTGCGAAAAAGAAAAGTTATACTTAAAAATAGTTATTTATTCTTATTTTTAATAATTAACCTTCTTGAAGGCTATTTGTTGAAAATGCATTAAAAACATTTTTATTCATACAATCTTCAAGGAAACGAATTCCATACCGTAATTCATTACCGTAATTAGTAAAATAACATTCTTTTGTTTTTGATATGTTCATGAATAGTTAGTTACTTAACTTATTAATTTTACAATTAACAAACGATGAAGAAAGAAAATTATTGATACCATAATTAATAAAATTTGGAAAATTAAGAAAATTTATGAATTAAGATTAAGAAAATTTAAAATTAAGAAAATTAAGATTAATTAAGAGAATTTGGAAAATTACAAAAAAAGATGGAAAAATCGGTTAATTTTGCTACTGAATAGTTTCGGAAAAATTTTTTTGTTAATGAATAGTCAATCCGGAAAAATTTTTTAGCTTAAATAAAAAAGGAATAATGCCAAAAAGGAAAACATATTTGATTGCATCATTATTGGATGAATGTGGTACGGATGATATGAAAACAATTCATTGTGATACGGTTAAACCGATTGATATAATCAACAAAGAATGCGAAAAATTACGGTTATTTTTTTATTTTCATTATCAAAATTGCTTAATTAATTAATTTAATTAATTTCTTTAAAAACATTTCAAAATTTTATTTTTTTCCAAAAATATCAATGTTAAATTCTTTTTGTGAATAATATCAAAATTATCATTTTTATTAAAAAAGCTTTTAAAATTTGAATAATATCAAAATTATCGTTTTTATCAAAAGCTTTTACAATTCGAATGATATCAAAATTATCACTTTTATCAAAGGCTTTTAAAATTTGAATGGTATCAAAATTAACATTTTTATCAAAAGCTTTTATAATTTGAATATTTCGATAATTTTTGTTTAATGAATGAAAGAATGATTGATAAGAGATAAAAGAAATTATTACTTTGAATTAAAAACAATGAAAATTTTGTGAAATTAAACCATTCGTAGAAAAAAACCAGTATTTTAGGATTGTATCAAAAATAGTTTATTGAAGGCTTTTTTGATGAAAAAATAATCTAATGCCTATCATAATTTAATTATTTTCTTATTCGGTCTATTATTTATAACCTAAATTGCAAAATTCTAAATTCCTATTTTTCATTTCTAAAATCCATTTCATCCATCCATTTTTGCAAATCAGGTTCTTTAACTTTTTTTTATTTATTGTTATCAATTCTAAATTTAATATACCAAAATATATAGTAATTTAATAGAGCAAGGAAAATTTTAATTTAACAAAGTAAAATGAATTGCAGGAAATTTAACCGGGATAAACAGGAATGCTCATATCAGGAAGAACGAGAACAAAGTATTGCATTAAGGTCTCATGGAGTACCGTGGAGAAAAGCTTTACCGATGCCAATTATTCAAAATCAAATAGAAAATTTTCCGGGAAATGATTCATCGCAGTATTTTTTGCACCGAATGCCAGTACAAACACATTTACAGGTAAACTTCAATAACTAACAAAACTATAACATTGTCAAGAATATCCTCCCCTCCCCCTCACCAAAGAAATATATATATATAATCAATTAACACAATTCAATTTGTAATTGAACTTATGAGGAATATTTGTAATTAATTAGATAATACAGATACAGTGATAAATGATTCAGTTTTATACTGTCATTTATTTTAGGGTTTTCTTAGCTATGGCTAAATTATCCTTCGGCTTTCAGTTGACTAACTATTGGGAATAATTAATTAGATAATATAGAGATTATTGGGAGTATTTGTAATTAATTAGATAATGTTTTAAACTGTTTTAGTTTTGGCGTGGCAAGATGAAATTTCAAATTAAACATTCATTATATAATATTATGTCATGTACGTTCATTATATGATATTTAAAAATTCCATAACTTTAGACTTTATCATCACCATACAGTATATCATCTTTATCACAATTGATGACTACTCGCTATCAACTTATGCAAATGCAACAAGCTGCTGCGGTACATCAATTATTATCATCACCATCAACATCATCATCATCATCATTATCATTATTATCATCTACATCAATGACAGCTATCAATCAGCAAATTTCATCCAATCAAAGTAATTTTTACTTTCTTTTTTTTTCTAATTAGAAATTTATGCTAAAAATTGACAATAAAATTGCATTTGATAAACAAATTAAACTTTTGTTTTATTAATTAAATTATTCATTTTTTTCGATTTTAACTTTTTTGAAAAACACAAAATAAAAACTATGAAATTTTATAAAACAATTATAGGAGATAATAGATAATTATTGAAAGTTAAAAAAAATAATTAATGATTAATTGATCATTATTTTTGACATTATTCTATAAAATTAAAACAAATATAAGTTAGCATCAAATTTATATTTAAGGAGAATTTTAAAAAGAATTTATCCTTTTTAATTTTCAAACAAATAATAATATCGATGATAAAAAAGGATGATAATCATATGATTAAAAATGTGATTAAAATTTTAGTAAGAATACATCACCATCAACATCATCATCAACATCAACAACAACAACATAATCGTTTTCAAGTAATGAGTAATCAAAATCAATCAATGATTAAAAAATATCGATGTGATATTTGTGATAAAGCATTTAGCCGAAGTAATACATTGGTAACACATAAGGTGATATATAATTTTTTTTTTTGTTTTTATTTAATTAAGGATAAGTTGAAAAACTACGATATCTCTATGATATAGATATATATATATATATACATATATATATATATATGAGGATATTGAAGGGGAAGAATGATTTGAAAGTTTCTCGTTAACTTTTATAAATAATTAATGAATTAGAAAGAAAAACGAAAGGATAGGAAATGCTAAAAGAAATTCTCAAATAAACTAATCCAAACAATAAGGATAAGTTTTGAAAATAAATCTTTTCTTCTTGTTCATCATTAGAACAATAAAACTTTAGCTAGCTGGCAAGAAGTTCGATAATTTTATAAATTATGCAAAAATAAGCTTATTGTGCTAAAGCGATAAGCTTTCATCTATTTTATTTTTAAATTTAAATCTTGTATAGTTAGTTAGTCTCTCTCTCTCAATCTCTCTCTCTCTCTCTCTCTCTCTCTCTCTTTCTTTCTTCACTTTTCCCATTTTCAGTGTTTCAATATTTTCACAAATTTTCTTCGATAGAATTCAGGAAGTACGAGGATGATAAAAAAAGAAAATGAATCGAACGAAAAAAATTTAGTGATTTAATTGAATTCAGAAGAAAGAAGGGAAACGGTGATAAGCAATAAGGATAAGTTTTTGATAACAACTGATAAGCAAAGATTGATTTCATTCATTTTAACTTATCTAATTTTCTTGTGTGATAGCTAGAATTTTTTGATTAGATTAAAAGGAATTTAAAAAAAGAAAATGTTGATTTAAATTGATTAAGTCTTAAGTATATTTTAAATTGTTCTTTTTTTGCTATTAATTAGCATCACTTATAATCATTTAAATTGTTCTTCTCTGTTATCAAATATGCAAATTAAATTACCCTGAAATTTACTTTCCCTTCAATATAAAATATTAGTGTTTAAATGATAGTTCCACTCATATTATTTTAAATTTGAAAATTCATTCTCAAATAATTTATCATTTATTTAAAATAAATCATATTCTTTTTTAATGAAATTAATTCATATTTAATTATAATACTCTAATTAATCTTTAATGTTTTTCAATTACTAATTCTACGAGAACTATTTTTTCTCTGTAATTAAATCTTGTTTATCTTTTTGTTTCAACAGAGAATTCATACGGGTGAAAAACCATTCCATTGTGATCATTGTGGTCGAGCATTTCGACAACCTGGAAATTTAACTCGTCATCGTCTTACTCATACAACGGTTAAATCCTTTTCAAACATTCATTGTGTTAATTACCTGAAGAGGCAAAGAATTAAATTTAATTAAAGAAAAAACAACAACAACAACAACAACATATAAAATTGCATTAGTGACAACTGCATTAGTCATATTTTGTTTATCTATTTATTGTTTATCCATTTTTGTAGCAAATAAAATTTATATAATACAAATGATTAACTTTATAAATATGAATAAATATATGCTGAATGTATTCTTATTGTAACAAATAAAGATTATGCATTCTAATTAATTTTTTGTATTAATTAATTATGCTAATTATTGAAAAACATTTCATATATGAGATGTTTAAAAATTATTCAATTTAGGTGAAACCTTACATTTGTTCGATATGCGAGAAAGCATTCAATCGGGCGTCAAATCTGCACACACATATGCGCACACATTCTCAATTATTTCGTACTAAAATAACTGCAATACAAACATTTGGATCATCAATTTGACCTCTACCTTTTATTGTCAGTTCTTTTTTTCAAAAATTGTATTTTAAAATTTTTGAAATTTTAAATGCAAAAAATACGGTAAAATGTAGTTTTAAAATAAAGAACGAAAAAAAAGGAGCAGTAAATTAATTAATTTAAGAAAAGTTTGTTGATGTAATTAATTATTAAGGTAATTATATTGTCTAATTTTTATCTTGATTTTTCCTTTCAGAGTTGAAATAATTTAAGAATGATTAAAGATTATTTGAGATAAATTTTCTGATATATTTATGTATCATTCAAATAAATAGTGATAAGTTAAATAAGCCGGTATTGTCAATAAATTATTTTTTAATTATATTTTCAAATGATAACAAAACATATCAGGCATTATATCATTTAATTTTTCACTTCCAAATATGAAAAACTTCCAAATATCAGTTTTATTATAATTAGCTGTCACTTATTTTGTATTCAATTGTTTCACTTAAAAATTATTATTAATTCAAATGTAAATAAACAAAAGAAAGCAAAACAATTTAATGTAAACAAACAAAAGAAAATAAAACAATTTAATGTAAACAAACAAAAGAAAATAAAACAATTTAATGTAAACAAACAAAAGAAAATAAAACAATCTAATTGCTTACATTTTCTTTTTCTTAAAAATAATTAACAATTAATTAAAAATATTTTCAAACGAATAAATAAAAATATAAAGTTTATATTGTAAACAAAACAAATTTTCAATTGAATGAATTTTGAATTATTATTTTTCCTCTTTTTCTGTTATTATAATTTTTGTATTTAATTGCAATGCTCAAATGATATCGAAGTTGTCGTTGTTTAATCAATAAAATTTGAATAATTCTTTGTTTTAGAATAATATTGAAAAAGAACTTCATTGAAATGATGTGATATTGTCTGAGTGCTGTAAATATGACAAGAATGATTGTATTAAATGATAATGATAAATGATAATGGTCATAATCATAAATAATAATAATAATATACGACATATGATAATAATAATGATGATGATACTAATAATAATGATGAGTGAGTTTACAATTATTTTAGAAAAATTTGAGCTATTCAAAGTAAAATGAAAAATGATGATGCTAGCATTACATATGCTAATATTATTATTGTTGTCGTTATTATTATTATTATCAATTATTATTATTTTCTTAAATTAATTAATTTGCAAATAATTATATCAATTAAGAAAAAGCAAGAAAAAAGAAAAATGTAAGCTTCTTTAGAGAATTGTAATAATATGATGGTAACGTAATTTAAGTATTATTTTGTCACTCAAATAATACTGCTGAGATATTTTTAGAAGCAAAATAATTTAGTATTTCAAAAAGTTGATATTTATTTTTTAAGATGCAAAATTTCAGCAATCATATATATGTATTTTGGTATCCAAGTAAAATAATACATTTATAATAGGAACTAATATAACATTAACTGCTGCAGTCAATATAGTTAAGACACGTATGTATATGTGTGTGTATGTTAAATAGTTGACAATTTAAAAAAATGTTATAATTACTCATTTAATTAGTTCACGCTATTTCAATAAAAGTTCAAGGATTGAAAAACGTTAAGAGAAGCAGTGAATATCTATTTATTACTCCATGCTACTTAGTTTTTGCTTTTTGAGTATGTAATATTTTTTACTTTCCTGTTCCTCCGAACTATACTTGGGATAAGAATTTGCGCATCGCACCCATCTAAATAATCTAGCTCAATGTGAGTCAATGTAATGCAACGACTATTTGCGCGCCAAATTTTACATTTTATTAAGTGACGTGTGGGGAATGTCTCATTTAAAACGTATAGGGAGTGCGTGATGTTAAGTATGCTAATTATGTCCTCTACATTTGCAACAGAAAATGGTTTTCACGAAAAAATAAAGGCAATTAATCTACGGGGAAAATAATTTCAGGAAAAATTTGTACGGCATGTAGAAATTTTGCACAAAAACAATATACACCCATAGATGCATTATACTTAGCTATGTGCCATCATTTCTCGGTAAACAACGGAAACCTTATTATTCCAACATTTTGATTATATTTTTATCTGAGAAGGCTACTATGTAAGCGGATGTAGTTAAAGATTAAGGTTCCTGGTACAAGAGCATACATGATGTAGACTTTTAGTCTCTTGTCCTAAATCATCTAATGACTGAATGTGTAGTAATTTGCATGTTATCGTTATCATTCGAGCTTCTCAAATTACGCATGTATGTTTTTCGTGGTAGCGGTTATTCTTTATCGTCTATCATTTTTACCTATGTGATATATGCAAGTGAATAATATGTATCATTTTGTTGCGTGCTGATAAAACACATCGTTAATATCATTTCTCAGCTTGTCCGCCATTCATTTTTGGCTCTTTTTTTACAGATGCTTAATTAAAACGAAAGCGAAAAAAAAAGAAATGTACTCACGACAAAAAGACCACCAGGCAGTAATTGATCTTAAACTATGGATTTTCAAGGTTAATGATCGTAGAATTTTTTAAAATTTCAAGTTTTTTGGGATTACTCATGAGGGTTAAAATTTTGTTTCAGGTATTTTGCAAATAAGTGACAGAACTGATTTTATTGATTTTCGGAACATTTAATAATATGATAAAATCTAAAAGATTTATTCCAGTCCATTATCAAGGCAACTAGAAAATTTAGTGTATTAAAAAAATTTTTCAATTACGGTTAATATGATTTAACTAATAATATATTGCAGAACACAGTGTTAAGTTTTATTCCAAGGTAGTCGTTAGGTTTGGTGTATATGAGGATTTGAAGAGATTTTTTGATCACTTTTTAAGATTTAAAATTTCATTTGGAATATTTTTTCAATTTTTGAATAACAAGGGAGCATTTCCTGTTTTATAATCACAAACTAAAGAACTAAAAAACTTGCGTTTCTGTGAAATTCATTATTGAGGTATAATTTAAATTGAATATATTTAATAGCTAATGTCGGTATTTAAGTTATGACAAGCAAATAGCAAACTTTTTAGTTTATTCGTAATGAAAAGGATGAATTTGCTGTATGCGTGGAGGGTTATCGAAAAAAAGACGTCGGAGAACGCGAACTTGAAAATTGGCGCAGTACAGCTATCAAGGAGAGATATAACTCATTGACATTATTAACTGTTAGCGGCTCCAAATATGTTTTACATGGAGTACTTGATCAGGATTCAGCATATGGACTTGGTAATGATCTGTTATTAATTATTTAGAATGTTTTAAAAATATTTTTTCGGAAGCTTTCTAAAATATTTTAGTCAATTTTTTCAAAAATTGATGTTTAGGACCTCTATCTTGCTCAAATTTGTTTTAATTCCAAAAATGAAAACGAAAACGTTTTAAAATGTTGCGAAGTCTACTTGCACCTTAATATTTCAACGTAGAAATTAGCAAAAAATCTCATTTATTAGAGCTTAGTTTTGTATCTATTACTGCTACTCCCGAGTCTCAAATTATTGGTAATGATGATAAATCAGTGTCATATAGTGCCACTTGAATATGCTACTTGTTACGATCTCTTGTCTGGACTGGACAGTTGATTAATTTCAGAATCTCATTTTCCGATCTTTGGAACTACATCTTTCTTCTAACCCTTCTAAGATGTATTTCTTAGCGTAGACGAATCATTCCTTATAAACCTTTTTGTATTATGGAATTCATTGTTAGTGCCACAATTTTAAATAACATTTTCTATTTTGTAAAAGTTTCTTGAGCATTAGGGTCTTAATTTATTAGGGTCTTAATTTTGAGCATTTGTATCATTTTTTCGTTTTTAATTAGTGCTTTCTTTCAGGATATCCAACGACACTAATCGAAAGGTTCAAAGACGGTTTTCCATATGAATGGCGAGAACTCCTGTGCGATTATTATATTAATGTGGTGAGGCCTAATAAACTTAATGTATCTCAAAGATTACATTCTGTGCTTCTCAGTGGTGTATTCGTAGATATATCTAAATGTTCAAGAATCGACGGACATCGCATACCAACGTTTAGAAATGGTAATTGAAGCAAGCAACGTTAAATATTTTTATTCACTTTCTTACTGAAAAATGCTTTTGCTAAGAAAAAGCAAGCACATTTTATAGCCCCCAGAATTAATTTTTAAAGAGTAGGTATCAAATTTGAGATTAAATTTGTTGTGTTTGTTTGTTTTCATTGTACATTGTTTCTTCATCCGGTTATTCAAGTTTGTTCTTTTTTTAATTATTATAGTTTTTGGTAAGTATGAAGTGTCATCATCTTCGAACACTGATGCAAAACGAGCGAAATATTTGCCAAGCAACGATAAAATTGTGGAGGAGGATGAAGAAACAAGTAAAGACAAATTCTCTACGTCCAAGTTTTCCGATAACTGTACGAATTCGATCGGTAGATTTTCAAAAAGTCTTGGTCATGATTCAAGTCATGATTCGAGTGAACAAAAGGTGACGCCAAAATGTGATAACCGTTCTATATCAGCTAATGATCGCAAGCTTGCCACTGAGATGATGATGCCTAGCGAGAAAGATATGTTTAAACATAAATCACAAGAAGCTGTGTTGTTTAAAATGCCGCTCTTACCGTTTCAGCGGCGTCGTTCAAGTAAGTTAACGCATGTAATATTTTCTTAATGAAAATATTTGGTGCTTACAAACTTCTTTTACAATATACTAGCTTTTTGATATTTGTATTCCCTATCAAATGTTTGGATCGGAATTTCGGAAACTCGATTTTCGGATCTTAAAACAAATACGTGAGATAACGAATTAGTGTTTGTATGTGTTTTCTCTTTATCATTATGGCAAAAGTGAAATTTTTTCGAAGCGGAAATGATTAATAAAGGAATACTTCGCTCCACTGATCAACATTTTTTCAGAACCAATAGATTTATATAACTGGACGATACGTTTTTCTGTAAATGATTTAGGACATTCGAATCTTTTTCCAAATTTCGCTTTTGTTATAGTTGGCTTTCGTCCGTAAGTCAATTATTTGGTATTTTCGTTTTGTCCTTTTCAACATTCTAAGCTTATCAAATTTTCAATCGTTCGAGTAAATGATAGCCAGTATATAAACATTGCGCTTAGGATCAGTCATCAGCTTGATCCACTCTTTTTTTTTGAAATTCATATTTAGGGACAAAAATTTCGATTGGAAAACATCATGTATTGTTGCGGTAGAAGGTAATCGTTTGTTGCGGACTGAAACAGGTGTATATGAACTCATGGGGCCGATCAATACAATATTAGCAACGCAGCAAGGTAGTTTTTTTGCGCTTGGTCTTGAATTGACATATGATATGAAGTAAATATAACTAGTTCGTTCATTTAAACCTAAATCTCAAACTGTTCGATATTTGCTTGATATTTATTGCAATAAAGATAAATATATGAAATTTTAAGTTTAATTGAAATTTCACAGTTTGCGTGATCTCTTTGTGCCAATTTGCTGATATAATGTGTGGGAAAGCAGCAAAAACAGAAGTTAATCTAAAATTAATTACACCTAGCTGAGGATCTTATCGGTATGGATTTGTTTCATTTTTTCTTTAGGATTTCCAAAAGAATTTGTGACACTGTTCTTGAATGGATTTCCAAAAGATTGGCATCGTATCCTATCACTATTTTTCAATACATATATGTGAGTTTTCCTGTTTATTTGCAGTTTATCACTTAGCAATTAACAATAGCAATAGCAACTCAACATAATATCCATATCGAAGTATGAATATGTTCACTCTTTCTGTCCAAAATTTTCAAAAATTTTTGAATTTCTTTTTTGCTCGTGAGTTTTAACCAATAATTTTTCATGGTTATCGCGGATCATTTTTTTGCCTTCTTCAAATGTATCAAAATTGGTTGTCAGATTTCAGTGAACCACAACTGCCGCCGCGACAGTCATTGACTATTTCTGAAATCCATGAAGATGTTGAAGCGGAAAATATGCACTGCCGTGATTTTGAGCAGAGTGTCGAAAGCTGTTCATTTGATGACAGTGATTCTCTCAGCTCATCTTCTAATGACAGCATCCAAAACTGTAGGGAGGATCTGAAGTCTACAAAGTATTCCACTTCGAGAAAATCTGTTCGATATCGAACTGAAAATTCTTGTAAATCTTAGATTTTCCTCTTAGATTTTTAATTCTATTTTAATTAATCGAGCTGGAATTTTATGCATATCCCGTAATTCTTACAATTCAGATCCGGTAAAGACTGGAAAGAAGAGAAATAATAAATATCAACAAAGCAAGTATCTTGCTCCCAAAAAAAAGCAAGTGAAGCTTGAAGAAAAGAATGCAGGTAACTGATAACCGTACCATGATGAGGTATTTGTCAAGCACGAGATGATTCTTCTAGTTTATTTCTGTTTTATTTCCATGCTTTGCTTTTTTCATTCACTTTTCCTAATCAAATGAATAAGTTTCAAGCCAAATGCTTCACCGATGAATAATAATGCTTTACAGTGGAAGATTCCGTGAACCTTTCTCTATTGAAAACGACGAGAAGTGGTCGAGCTATTAAACCACGTATGGCGACGTGGACAGGACAACGAATTATGTATAGTGTTCGTGGTTCTCCAATAAAAGCTATCGGCATTACAACAGATTCCATTTATTCTACAAGTGCTTCAGATGTAATAAATTTTTCATCTGCTTGGGATTATTTTCATGTAGAAGTTGGATAAAAAAATTACTTGCTGATATATTGATGGTGTAGGAATGTTTTCAGTCCACAGTTAAGAATAAAAGAAAATGGGTTGAACTATTCATGATTCTCTGGTTTGATTTGATTTTGGAAACAGAAATTTTATTAAAGGCAAATCAGCGAAGAATGTCAAATCTTTAAAGGAAAATCTACTTGTAAATTTCAGAGCTCTTTATCGAGTCTCTATAGGACGAATTTACTAGAAGCCGTGCAAAAAGGTGAGGAAAAACCTAATCATCATGATATCAACACCAAAAGAGTTCCTCTTGTTGCTTACAGTGACAGTAACAGTTTTTCCTCTGATGATGATGATGATAATGATAATGGAAGACTATCTCCACCTACACCCATAACGCCTTTCTGTGGAAAAAGGGGACATGTAAGTAAATCTTGATTTTTAAGAGGCTGAAAGTTCAAATTTTTGTCAAAGTTAATGTGTGCTGAATTTTCCAAATTGCTTGTTTTTGATTGAATGTGTTTTTTTTATTTGAATCCTTTCATCATTTCCAGCATAATTCACGCATGATTTTATCTTCACCAGAAGAAGGCATAAAAAGAAAGAGGGCAAAAAGGCATAAATTGCGCAAACGCCAAATCAAAACCTATAAGGAGATTCCTCCAAGGCAGAAGAGCATGTCTAAGAAAGGAACTTTTTCAAAAGCTAAAAACGGTTTACTTTTTTTTTTCTCATTTTTTCAAATAAAGAGTACTATGTTGCTGGCAGTTACATTATCTAATAAATTTTACAGCAGAAAGAAATGACGATAACAAACAAAACAGCGTTAAAGAAACGGTACCGATTGTATCGTTCAGTGATGTGGAATCGGAGAATGGTATTGTAGAAAAAGCAAAAACAGGCAGAATTACTAATGACGCTGTTACTAAAAAGACGAAAAACGCTCAAACGAAAAAGTGGACAGGCAATGATAATACTAGACTGAAAGTAATAATTTACTTATGGTGAAATTCTGCAGACGGTAAAAAGTGATTTACTTCGAAATATCAAGTTTCATTTCATATTTGGGTCAGTTATCGAAAATTCTTTATTCCATCCCAGTGACGAAAAGCAAAGCATAGGAGCTAGACACAATTAGAGTAGTTAATATCTATTGCGATGCGGCAAGTATGAAGCATTTTAGTTAGTAGTCCGTGCTATGTGTCCACAAAATGAAAAAGATTGGGAGAACATTGCTGCATCAATACGAACGCGTACGGCTGAAGAATGTCGTAAGCAAGCACTAGAGGTTCTAAAACTGAATATTACTCCAAAAGAAAGTAAAACGGCTGATGTGTCCGCTGATGTGATAGATGCACTTAGAAAAACCAAAGTAAGTTATGCCATTCTCGTCGTAATTATAGACATCAAATCGAGATTTGGAAATGTGTACACAGTGAAATGCTTGCAGGTAGTAGACTTAACGATGTGTTTGACATAATGAAATTTTAGCCGAATACATTTTTATATTAATTAATTGCTTTTTTTTCTACTGTTTTATTTTATTAAAATGTAAAATAGGTTGGCACGCTTGCATATCAAATCCAAGCAGATCGATTCACTCGGCAGTATCTGAAAGCGGGAGATGCTTCAGATTTTTTCGAAGAAACGATGGATGTGGGGCCAAGTGGAAGAAAAGTGGCAGTCAGTTATTAAATTTCAATAGATTCCAATTTCGCTTAAAGTTATCCTATTTCTCGATATAATTTTCATGTTAATCTCAGTTATTCGAGGAAGATTACTTGTGAACATTTCAGACGATGCCGTCAGTGACGACTTTTGACTCCGACGATTCATTACTGTCTGTCTTGCGTACCCCAACACCGAGATCTGTTCGAAGGAATGTTAGCCGGAAAAAGTTAATTCGCATTCCTGAATCACCAGGCTGTTCAACACCGAGAAATTTGTCAAGGGATTCTTATGTTCCATTTAGATTTGATCCAGATGATGAAGCCTACAGGTGTGTTTGTTGGTATATCGTTTTTTTTGTTTTTGTTCTTTTAGCAGAGTCCCTTATTCGCCTTTTTGAATCGTAAGAAAAACAGCCTACTGAATTGTGGAATTGGGCTAACATAGTCATTGAGAAATTTTGCACGAAAAAATATGGAACTGTGAAATCGACTTTCTCAGATTAAATCAGTTAGATTGCAATTTTGCAGAGAACGGCAATTACGCTATGTTCACAAAATGTTAAAAGTGAGGAACCAACACAGTAGAAGTCGTGGAAATATAACAAAATTATCTATTTCCAAAGATTATCATTTCCATATACCAATGGCCTCTGGTCACCAGGATGAAAGTGACAAAGAATCAGAAGATGAATATTTTGAAGAGGAAGCGGACTGATATCTCATCACTACACTTATTAGCTCCATTGTGGAATATTTAATACTTAGAAAATCGAGCGGCTGCAATTTGTTTCATTTGCACCTTCGTAGATTCAGTACTTAAAACTTTGAATATTTTTCGTTAATATTTTAATTAGAAACAAATCCTTGAATGCCGTCATTTAATGATACTTAAATTTGGAGTTTAAGACGTTTCTTTCACAGGGAACTCTCTGTGCTAATCCCAACAGATAATGTCTTCTTCGATCTGAGAAACCGTAAATCCTATTAAGAGTCCTTTTAATAGGACTGGGAATTTTAAACCCAACTTGTTTTATGAAACATATTTCAATTTACTGGCTGTAGATAGCATTCGGTATAAACAAACTATCGCAAGACTGCGTTTCTCTTCTTTCAGTTGCCTAAATCAAGCTCGATTTTCATTCTCATTTCTGGTGGCTTAACTGCAAAGGATTAGCTATTCTTATCCATACAAGAAAACATCTTTCCAGTATGTATATTCAGAGCACCAAATTCAAATGTGCATAGAAGCTAAATCACAAAACCATAAGTTTACTTATGAACATTAATTTGCTGCACAGCATGGAAATTGCCATAGTTAAACAAAAAACACTTGAATACATTTAGAGGGAATTTCATAGTATAAGTGTGTCCAGTAATATGAAGCTTCTAATAAAATGTATTTGAATTCTAGAATCTCTTCTACCTTAAAAAGATAGCACGACGACGCTAGAGATTGCTGGGGAGTAAGTTCAAGATTTAAATTTAGTTTGAAATTGAATTAAGTCTTAATTAAAACTCACTTTTTTCAAATATGGCGGAATACATTGGTGAAGCGAAGCATTTGCTGTTAAAATTGCTCGAAAGCTTAACCAGGGAATGAAATGAGTCAGTGAATGAGTGCCACCCTCTCCTTCTGTCCAGAAAACTCAAAGAAAAACGATTAGTTTAAAAAAAAAAAGGAGAGTGTCGGTGAAAAAGAAATAAAATTTAGCAAAATAAATGTTATTTAGACACGGGAAATTTTCTGCTACAATTTACAATAACATCTACCACAAACAATACAACACCATTGAATTTAATGACAAAAGTAAAGCAAAACTTTCAGATGGCTAATAAAATGCATACAAAATTTGAGAGTTCCCGAAATTTATAGAATGTCTTGCACGTTAAATGAAAATGAACGTTATGACGGGAGCTGAGGAAATCGGCATTCAGCTTCCATCCCTGCTCCTACTCAAAATCATTTAACACTTCACAGAAGCTTATGTACTTAGCTGTGAATATCGAGAAACTGCGGAACTGCATAAGTGCGCCATCCGCTTTGGCATCGATTTTAAACTCAAATCTTTTCGATTTTTTTCAAATGATTGAACAGATTATTGCGTTAGCTATGTATTTCACTTTTTGAAGCCTCGACATCTCTTCTACATATACACTACAGACCCATACAACAAATTCAATAAGAAATGCTTTGCGTACTGCGCAAACACTGGAAATTCATCAGAAAAAAGTAGAAAATGATCTGCGGAAAATAGCGTCTTCATATAACGATGTGTATAAACAAGTACTATGCACGTTTAGTAAGCTTATTCAAGTCATAATATTCGTACCTAACAACGGCGAATCTAATAGATGAGTATGATATTACTCATCTATTAGATTCGCCGATTAAAGATACATCAAATCCTGATGATGAATGTATTCACCAAAAGTTTTAAAATTTTAATAGCTTTTGCAAAATGGCTAGTTTTCAAAAGCATGAATTAGGATAGCACTAACTCTTAGGTACCATTATTTGAACTAAAACCTTAGCAAAGCTTACTTCTAACAACGAAAAATATTTACATAGGGAGGGAGAAGAAAGATCGTAATATTCTAGCTAGAATTTAATAAGGACGTGAAGGTATCTGCGGTCGATCTGGTATCCTTGGCGGTACGCCGTTTTGAACCGCTGAATTATTGTGCACTCGACTGAAACAACAAATGCTTATCAAAAATGATTCAGAAGTTTGAGATAAAACAAATAGTCCACACTTTTTTGCTTAAATCAAATACTACAGTTAGTAACCGCCTTTACTACTATCGGGCAGCATGGCACATAGCACAGGTCATGCACCACGATGACGACGCAGGACATACGAGAGCACTACCATTTAAGATGCTCGCTCGTTAAATTTCTGATATTTACAATCAATGAGCCAACTTTAAGGCAAATGTAAGGAATTATCTCATGGAAAATTCGAAGACTGGGAATTTCATACGTTTTAATTTGTTAGTTTGAGCATGTCTTCAGATTTTTTCTCTGTTGTCTTCAGCTGAATTATTCAACAAGGTACAACTCAGCTGGAATCTAATAATTAAATCCCAACTAGACTATTCAGGAAAAACAATTAAATAAACAACTTTTTAGAATTTCAAACAGTATGTTCTAGTAGTGAAAAAGCGATAAGCTTATTGCCATTACAATCACAACTATTGTACTGTACTCTACACCAACAACAACGATACCATAAATGAATAAAAACAAAACGACATGCATTTCTAATGGTTTACTATAACAGCAGACTAAAGAAATACTAATCATTTACCCTTCGGCGAATTATTTTGGACGCCTAAACAATTTCATAAATTCATTTAATGAATAATGGGTATTAAGCAAATGGAACACTCACAGGACAAGTTTCTCAAATCTTCCCATAACTATTAATCATTAATGGTAAAAAAGTATCTTCAATTCATTATTTAGGATACAATGCTTCTGCATATCTTACATGATCAAGAAATGTATTAATTTCCCATTTAAAAATATCATATGCTACTTAAAGCTCGGCAAAGAAAAATTTTGAAAAAAAATTTTGTAAAAAAACCAACTGATATAAGATATTTGACCCATGTAATCCCAATTGTCTCAACATAAAATATAATTAGATCCGAAAGAATTTGGAGAGACTAAAGCGAAACATTTTTCAACAGCTATTTATGCCATAACTGTATTTTACAGTTAATACACTTACATGGGTAGCAACGGAGCAGGAAGTCCACCCGGTGGTCCCGGTAGTGGTCGATTCGCAAGTGAAGAAGCGTTTTGTACATTTCCCGTTGATCGCGGTGGCATTGGAGCTGGACGCTGCGCAGTTAATCCAGCACCCATTCCAGGTCGTGGTACCGGAGACGGTCCATTGGATCTAAAGTTGGAAATTTTTTTTTTGACATCTTGATGAAGCGACTTCTATTCTTGAGGAAGAAATAAGACATAAGAACAAAGAAAATTTACCACGTCTAAAAAAAAAACAGTTACCTCAACCAATCACTTGCTACTGCAGGAGGTGCATCAGTTGAAATCGTAGACATATTTACTTCACCAATAATTCTTAACGCTTCCTTGCACGCATGATACATTCGCAACATTTCCTCTCGTTTCTGTGTTTCGAGCTGACTTTCTTCCATCATCGACTCCTGGAAAAGAATCCCACTCGTTACCATATAAATATCGAAAGAAGTAGCAAACAGAGATGGGAGAAAGATAGCTCGTTAAGATAAACATTTAGGCAACCATAATGAGGAACGAAGCATTCTGCTGACTTTGTTAAATAGAGAAAATTAGGTAAAACTAGAATCAAACTAGAAAAAAGACTGACTGTGTCACCAAGCTGATAAAGACTAGCCAAAAGGTCACCATCGCGCAGAAATTCACTAACCTGAAAAGTAAGTCATAAAAGAAATAAAAAATGAACAATCACAACAAACTTAACTTTTTCCATCAATTTATCATTTCTTCAGATGTACGTGTTATTCCGGAATGCTTAATATCAACTATCCGAATTGTGGCAATGAAGCAAGCTTTTCGGGCGTGATATTCAATATGTGATATTCATCAAATTGTCCCCTCAATGAAATCAACATCTTTTACTTATCCCCACTTCTATTTCGTTATAAGACGTCTATACCGATTTTGTAAAGGGAAATTTTAACTATTAGACGATCTTACTTTATTAACAATAAGAAACATAATTGTTTTTGGCACAAGATCTCGTATTGTTTTTGTAACAATTCGCATGTAAGAATCAACCAAATTACGAATTGTTTCCACCTGACGCTCAAGTTGTGGATCCACCGATGTCTCTTCAATTTCCGTAGCAGTCTGTCAAAAAGAAAATGTTGCATATTTAAAGGACAAAGAAACAAAATATAAGAATCTTATATTCACAACAGACACTACCTATTAAAATGGCGCACAAGTTCAAACAAAAATTTGAAAACTGGAAAGCTTACTTCACCATCCTCGGCAGGCTTCTCCTTTTCTGGGTAAACGCCAGCACGAAGAAATGATGCTTTCCAGGCATCTACTTCGTCCAAATTGCTTGCACTCAGTTCTAATTGTTTATAGTCCTTGTAGATATTCCTGATAAATACATCACAATTTTTATCATTCCGTCTCAAAAATATGAGCTATATGCATGCTTATGATTCATGCGATTAATACGGTTCATATCATTTGTAAGATAAAGATAAATGTGCTGATACAGAAGAGTTAGTCAATCTCCAAAAGTATCAAAATATAAGAAAAAAAACCACAGTGCTGAAGTAATGGAAAACCAACTAATTCATCTAACTTCATATTATCCATTTATTTAAAAACATTAACTGTTTCGTACTACTTAATCCTTGACAAAATATCGAACAAAGACAAAAATTTTAAGGCCATTTTTCAGTTCAAACATCCAACAAGAAAGCAACATCAATATTTTATGATATTATTTGAGGAGTAACTCGCACATAATTTTTTCCTTCTCCTATCATTACTATCTTCCACTCCTGCTCCTTTCCACTACACTGCTATTGATATTACTGAAATCATACGTCAATCAATAGCAAGAACTCTTCCGTCCTTATTTTCAAACCTTTGCAATCCATAAAGCACTGTATCAACTGTTAATCACATCATGTTCTTTCAGGTGCCAACATCTTATACAGTACTACACGATAAATAGCAAG